ATTGGACCCATGTGGTCCTGCGACCTTAGGTGTCTGTTAAATGTGGCTTATTAATTATTTATATTCTTAATATAGAATTTGGATTAAGATATTTCGAGTTATGCCAATATTTTGGCGCAAATGTATCATTTGGCACTGTACATATAATGTGTTAGGTCTTGCATGTATAATAGATATGTTGTTGAAAGCCGTTGCCAGCTACTTTGTCTTTCATGCTACTTAATTGACCGTAGAACTCATTTTATATTAGGATTTCTCAAAGGGCGGTACGTGAATTTCTAAAAGTTCGCCACTTGATGTTTAAATTATTTTAATTATTATATTTATCTACTAAGATTTATGGTGAACAATTCCAAAGAGCGATTCTAAATGATAAAGTTGATTCATTTGTCTAGAGTGAAAAATGGCATAGGAATATAACCTATAGGAATATAACCTATAGGAGTCAATGAGTTTATAAGACAAGATTTGCAGTCTGGCAAAATTGAATTACATACTTACTCTTCAGAAATTTTTTAATACTTTTCTTTTTTCTTAAATACTCAACATTTTAACATTTTATGGGCTTTTCTAATAAAGTTTAAGAATTTCATTATATTTTTATTGTTAGCCACACTAAAGCAACTATCGATACAAGGAAGCGGAAGCAGGTAACTGTCGATTAGTATTGCGCTCGCGTCGAGCTCGGCTACGATAGGTACTCATTGTAAGGCGTAGGTTACATAATATTAAATAAAACATGGAACTTTAATTAAAATGTTAATACAACTGGAATCACAAGTAAAATAACAGTTTTAATGCGTCTGATAAGATAAGAACAATAATATTTTTATATATTATATAGCAATATGTAAGACGAATAAGGCGAACAAAGCGTTGTATGAATCATGTGTTAATATAAATTGTGAAAATACAGATTAGAATAGATTTAGTTATTTGGTTTATAATATGAGATATAATTTTAAATTTGATGTGTATAATTGTAAATGATATTTTGGATACAACTTGAAATATTGAGACTTGAGATGTAACCTTACCAGATGTTAGTTACATACGGTATTGTATCCGGTATTAGTTACATCCGGTTATTCATAGGTAACCCGATGTACCTAATTACTTTGACTATATATCGGAAGTCGATTTGAATGTATTTCTATTTGTCGTATAAATTTAAAAATTAGTAGGTATGTAAAGTCTTGAACTTTCGATTTTGAAGTCCTATACATTACAATTTGTTATAACCGTTTAAAACTAATTATTATTAAGTTAAATGTTCGCTGTAATTGTAAGTTTAATGTTTACAATAGTATACAATACTCCTAACAACAACAGGTTTAGCGATTACGCGGTTTCCATTATAACGAACCTAAACAAATGATTCGCTCTAGGCCTGTTACCAAGTAAACACGACACGGTTTTTCTCGTATTAAACGTTATTTAAAAATGTTGTCGATGTTAGAAATTACAATTATATCAAAAATAATTTATTTGTTTTTTTTTTAAAGTTCGAAATGCTAAGGTTAATCTGCATGCAATAAACGAAATATATTATTAACTAAGAAATTACATATTTGAAGTAAACAAAGGAATAGGTTTATAAGATTATATAATATACTAGCGGCTCACCCTCGCTTCGCTCGGGTTTGTCGCTAGGTATGTTTTAAATAGATATAAATAGTTATTAGCCAGCGTTAGCCATATATATTTTTTTTGTTAATAATATTGACAAATATTCACATTAATATTTATACGATACTAAGGTCGCTCAATTATTTTGCCTTTCTGGAACCTCTTCACTAACACTTAAACTTTATGGTATGGTATTAAAGTTCTAATTGACTTTTAAGTATTATTACGAATATTTGTATGGGAGTATAGAAAAGTGTTGTTTTTAGACTTTTACAGGCAATTTTTTAAATTTTTCTCTCCGTAAGAACCATCTTCGTACCTACTTCAAGAAATATTCTAAAAAAAGAATTAGCGAAATCGGTTCAGCTGCTCTCGAGATTTGCGCTTACCAACACATTCAGCGATTCATTTTTATATTATAGAGATGATGATTATATAAATTGAATAATACTTTCTTAGATTTACGCGAATAATTAATTGACAATTTAAATAAAACTATTTTTTCTGTTTTTTTTTCACGGATTTATTTTGACTTTCGATTCCCGACGTTTCGATTAATTAAATTGAATATTAAAGATCAAAGCAAACATAAACATAGAAAACTAGCGATTGACACTCGCGTCACTCGGGTACGTGCCTAGCTAGGTACGTTTTGACGGTTAGTATGGGAATAGATTAGACTTATATTATATAGACATACAGGTATGATGAGTTGTTGTGGGTTATACTATAACGTGTTTTCGGTTTTCCCGTGGGAATAAGGTAATCTCCCGTAATAAAAAGTAGCTTATGTCACTCCAGTCCTCCAACTACTTCCACCCAAAAAAACGACGCCAATCTGTCTCTCCATTTCGACGTGAAAAAAGGGCAAACAAACACACTTTCACATTTATAATGTTAGTATTGATATACAGAACAACATTATAACTCCATATTGTAGCAATTTAGAGTAAAAGATATAAGAAAATTGTTAGATTTCTAAATCATGCAAAAATCATTGATTTTTGCAGGTGTCGATGTATAGATACTTATCTTGCGTATACCTATTTAAATAGGTATACGCAAGATAAGTATAGTATCTTTATACGTTTATCCCAAGTCCCGACTAGTCTGACATAATAAAATCGTTCACGGCCGATCGGTGACCATGGACTTAAATAACGTGAGATAAATCTCTCTAAGGAAGTTGCATTCGATCATGTTAAATTGTATCTTTTAGCAAAAAATTTATATATTTTTATATTATTTATATTTAGTCCACATAAGTTCATGTAATGCGAATGCCCGGGACACATTACTTAGACAAATTGTCGTTCTGCAATCGTTGAAGAATAGAAATCCAAATAAATGAATACAATATTTAAATATCGATATCTTGCTTAAACCCCATGATTCGATTGCACTTTATAAAAAGCTCTGCGTTTAAACACTGACAACAGCCGGATAATAATGATAAGAGAAAATTTTGAGATAAGATTTTTTAGAAACAAACTACTACTACACCTTAAATCATCATACATACTTAATGAACTTTCCGTCATTATTTTATTACATCTTAATAATATATAAATGCGAAAGTGTGGACAGGTGGATGTTTGTTACTCAATCACGCTAAAACGGCTAAACGGATCTGGATGAAATTTGATATAGAGATAGATTATAGTCTAGAATAGCACATAGGCTATCTTTTTATCCCGGAAAAATGTACGGTTTCTGTAGGATGTTTTTGTTTTTCACTAGAGAGAAACACGAGCGATGCGAGAGTGAGTCACTATTTTATCTAAATGTAGTATGTAAAATGTATGTACATAATATTAACTTATTTCAATCATATCCAATTATAATATCTCAAGTGATTTTAGTGGTAGGTATAATATAAAACACCCACGAATCTGCTATATAATTTTATAAGAATCAATTGTATAGTGAGCCGTATACGGGGAGATCCTGATCCGATATCTACATACTGTGCTAAATATAGAGTAAATATTTCAAGGCTACATCATCACTTGTTTTTTTTAATTTAAAAAATAAATATATTGGGACATTAACACACAGCTCCATCTAGTTCCATGGTAAGCTACGAGGCTTGTGTTATGGATACCAGATAGTTAATACACTACACATATATAACTTTAAATACATATTATAAATATAAACACCTATGACACACAAATGAATGCCCCTAGCGGGACTCGAACCCGCGACCGCTGGCACAGGAACTAGGGTCACTACAAACGGACGCCATATGCGTCATCATGTCATTACATACATAACCTTTTCTATACGTTGAATCTGGACCGTAAACAGATATATTTTGATTCCTCTTTCTATCTTACATCACGTTTTCTCTAGCGGAAGGTTATCTGTAATTTTATATGAATTTTATATGTATAAAAATATTGTAAACAAAATGAATAATTAATTATTTTTAGGTTATTACGATAAACTCGATAGTAGATAGCATTTATCCGTCTATATTTATTGCATACTAGCATTACCCGCAGCTCCGCCCGCGTTCAAATGACCAAAAACCAAATTCTTAGGTTTTACATATTAGTATACTCTTACAATGCAGTTTTTGTATTTTTTCTCAGAAATGAGATATTTTCCCGCGGTGAAAAGTATCCTATATGTTGACCCGGATAACCAGCTATCACCATACCAAATTTCATCAAAATCCCTCCAGTGGTTTTTCTGTGATGCGGTAACAGACAGACAGAGAGACAGACAGACAGGCAGACAAAAATTCTAAAAAATATACATTCGGCCTCTGTATCGATAATAATGTCTATTTCAATAAGATTTTCCAAAAAATATTTAATGTACAGATTCTGCTTAGTTACAATTTTATTATATGTATAGATGTATGTTACATTATGTATTGTATGTATATTATCGCGGTAAATTAATCCAACCGAACCAATCATATGGATATAATTAACCTAGATTTCCCTAATGTAATCTCTACTGTTCCCTCGGCTCCGATTATGTCTTTTTTCTTTTCTTTCGATGCTTTTGGGCAGCGCCCAAATATGTATTAAAAAGTTTGGATTTAAAGTGTTATTAAAATAACATTAAAATTAAAGTACATATTATCCGATGATCAAATCAAATCAGATCACTATCAGAGATATTTCAATAAATAGAATATAAAATAAAATTTATCAAGATTTCAAATCTGACTTTTTTAGAGATAAGCACGTTCAAACCAACAAATGACGATCTTTTCAGCTATTAAAAAGCTTTATAATAGCTAAGAAGTATATTAGTATTGAAATGACGTAATAAGATATGTTCAAAATAATAAAAATAGTAATATGGCAATATTTAGTAGGTATATTAGTAATACGGTAATTCAATTGTTACAGTCCGGTAAATATGGTGAAGGCTACATCGGTTCGTCCCGTGGGATGGCAGTGCACATCCGCGCGAAGGGGGCCGAGGGAGAGCGCGACCACACCGGGTGCACCTGGCCGCTGCTCTCCGTGGCAGCGCCCAACGACCCGTTGCCCAGTGAGCCTTGGATCGCCGTTATAAGGCGTGGCAGCTGCAACTTTGAGATTAAGGTAAGTTTTTCTTACAGATATGCCATTTTTCAGGTTTTACATTAATAATTCTTAATGGATTAGTCCAGTATTATAATATATATGATTTTATAATATGTAGTTTAAATGCGATATTGTGTTAGTTGCTTGCTGCTTCACGCTGAAATAGGTTTGAATACTTTCAGTACACACATAAACTCGAGTAATACCGCTACTCTTAGGTACATGGAGTAGGAACGCGCCCGAGCGAGCAACAGTCTAATAAGAATATAATACAAGTTTGAAGTTAGTATTAAGTAGGTACTATTTGTGATTTGTGTCACTTTTATGTATGTCATCCGAAAATGGTTACAAAGAGAAAATACTACTGGCCGGGTTATCGTTATCTTTATCTCACTACATTTATGTACATAGTTCTTAACAATGCGAGCGTGAGGAAAGTTCAAATGGGAGTAAGAAACATAGTAAATTGGCGTAAAAAGCAGAGAAATTAGATTGTAAACCAAAAAAATTACATAACATTAATAAAAGTTCACAGACAAGTGACATGAAATCTAGTTGACATGAACTTAGCAAATTATTATAGGCAGACTTCAGGCTAAGTGAAAATATAAATTAAACTATAATATCGTCATTCTCACGTCGTCTCAATTAGGTATGTAGATGATTATGGACAAACACATTGTGACGTGTTAGAGTCGGTATCCTTACCTCTTTAGGATTGACAGCTTTATGTGCTCTCTGTGGTATGGGAGGTGAAACACCGCCAACTTCCCAACTCGGAGCTATTACTGAGACTTTCTTAACAGAAAGGACTAAACTTGGTTCGACACAGGACTCGAACCCAGGACCTCCGAATGTGCAGCCTTATGTGCTAGCCACCACTGAAACAGTTAAATACAAAAACTCATAAATAATATTAACCAAAATAACTTGCCTATCAATAATACCTAATAAAAAAATATGTGTTGAGAGAATGGGCCGGTACCTGAAGTTTGTTCAATTATTCATGGGTTCGATTTCCATACTTTTTAAACTGTGTTAACTTTTATATACAAAAAAACGGAGTTGTTAATATATGTATGAATACATAATCAATTTATTATGATACATGGATAGTCACTAAAGTTACAAATACCCTTTTTTATAACTATTTGCACTAAACGTGTGTACTAATACTAAATAGTATATACATACGTATAGTTGCAATTAGGTATAATAAAATTAAGATGCCAGTGCTTAGTGTTTCTCAATCATTAAATTGAACGTATAATGGTGTTCTTAGATTAAACATGTTGGGCGCTAGCCAAGCATTTTATTGAAATCTTGAGTCAAATCTAAGAAAAAACGAAGGTCATATACATACATACTCGTATATTTTACCATTCAACTCTTTACGAAATACTCATCTTATATCAATTAAAATGTTTGCTTATATTTTAAAATTAGGGGGAAAAAAACTTAATAAAATCTTTATAATATGTTATTTAGCTAAACTTATCTGTAAATACCTAAATGAAGATGATCAGCACTTTGGAAATTATTGAAAAACCTTTGATGATATTTTTAATAAAACTTATGTACTTTCATACATACACACATACTCTATAATACGTATTTTATATTCTCTCTATCTAATACATATTTATTTGTTTATTATGAGTTGAAAAATTATAGTAATGCTTTTTTATTTGTTTTCATCATATATTATGTTATTTAAAAACATTGAAGCATAAAATAGCTTGAGTAAACTGTACCTACTAGAGCAAGTATACTTATGCATACTTACCTATAAATAAATCCATACTAATATTATAAATGTGAAAGTGTGTTTGTTTGTTTGTTTGTTTGTTTGTTTGTTTGTTTGTTTGTCTTTTTTCACGTCGAAACAGAGTGGCCGGTTGGCGTGATTTTTTGCGTGGAGATAGTTGGAGAACTGGAGAGTGACCTAGGCTACTTTTTACCGCGAAAGATCATCCTACTTCCCACGGGAAAACACGTTATAACACAACCGAAAAAAATATTTACGATCAGAATTACTTAAAACTTGGTATTAATGCTCTTCAATACAATTAAATAAATACATGTTTTAGCATTTTTCGAAATTCATCTCATAAAGGGGTAAAATAGGACATGAAAGTTTGTATGAAGCCTATCTTTTTAGAGTATTTTTGTAGTTTTAGCGCGAGCGAAACCGCGGGTTCTTCTAGTAAGTAATAAGTTGTTCTATAGGTTAATAATAAACAATGTTCTATTAAAGTTATTTCTATATAAATACCTTTTATTGTGTTCATTTTTAATTAGTAAATAATACTCATTTGCTATGTTGATTATATACCTTTTTTAGTATTGTTTTGCAAAGCGTAGATCTGTTTACCATTATATTTCCTAGCTATTGTATTAAATTGCAAATATAGTATTCCTTTTTTTAACTATTTACTTTAAATCAAAGTTATATATAAGTGTATTGTATCATGAACACAATCATATATTACTAGAAGAACCCGCGGCTTCGTTCGGGCTAAAACTACAAAAAAAAACACTAAAAAGGTAGGTTTCATACAAACTTTTAACCCATATTTTACCCCCTTTTCGGGTGAATTTCAAAAAATGCTAATACACATATTTATTTAATTATATTGAAGAGCATTAATTGAAAGTTTCAAATAATTCCCATTATGATGACGTGTTTTACCGTGGAAATGAGACAATTTCCCGCGGTAAAAAGTAGCCTGTGTCACTCTCCAGCCTTCCAACTATCCCCATACAAAAAATGATGCCGATCCGTCAATCAGTTTCGACGTGAAAGAAGGTCAAACAAACAAACGAACAAACAAGCAAACACACTTTCATATTTATAATATTAGTATAGATTATTTTACCTTAGATAATTCTCAAAAGGCTTTTTTGTAATGACGTAGTGTTAATACCTATAGAACTAGAGCTTTGACCTTCTTTATCAATTGAATGGAAACTGGAAACTATCATTTTCGTATTTCATTAATAATATGTGCCTTAAAATAATATTGATTCAGTCAAATGTTTATCTTGGCGTGCGCAACCAAACAGACAAAGTTCTAAAACCTTTTTTATATTTAACCTTTAAATTATTTTACCTTTAATTATTATACCGTAGAGTTTACATGAATGATTTATTTTGTTCATATTGATATATATTTATAGAATCTAGTCTGCTCTACTTACATAGACACGATCTTTATGTATAAGCCTTCGAATTCCTAGAATATGTGGTATTCAAACCGGGCATGTGATTTCTCGTGCAGAAATCTCATTAGTTTGAGATGTGCTTAAATGTATGTACGTCAAATGCCGGTCATATTTAGAATTAATTACAGGATAAATTTTTAAGCTTTTAAAATTTATTCCTTTGCAAAAATTAAAATGTTCTTCGTAAATAAATTTGTTCTACTATTAAATCTTATGGTAATGAGAATTAAGGACTGTATATAATGAAAATTTTACAAAAAGACACAGCCACATACGTACCACTTTGTTTCTAAGCGACTTACCCTGAGTTTTTTCAGGTACGCCCTTAGATACCTAAAAGTAGTTTATACGTTACTCCAGGTCATAATAATCTATCTGTATATCGAATTTCATCAAGACCTTTAGCGTGAAGGTGTAACATACATACACACATACATAATTTGTATTATAGGTATTGTAATTACTTTTTATGTACATAATAGTAGTCCAATTATCCATTACATGCGGTTTCGTTTTATTTGCAAACACGTAAAATAGTAATAAGCTCATTTTTTATGAAAATAATAGATATTTTAAACGCTGTTTATTTGTTGTTGATTTTTTATATTAAAGTTTAAACTAAACGTTAAGAGAGTACTTTATTTATTCTGCAGTGATTTTTACAAATAACAACAAAATGTTGACCCAAACACAATTTTTCAAAATATTATTAACTAGCGACCCACCCTCGCTTCGCTCTGGTTCGTCCCTAGGTTGATTCCCCATACAAACTTTCATCCCCATTTTCACCCCCTTAAGGAACGATTTCCGGGATAAAAAGTATCCTATGTCTTTCCCAAGGTTGCAAACTATCTTCTTACCAAATTTCATCTAAATCGGTTCAGTAGATCCAAAGATTACCCCCTACAACCTCACAAACTTACAATTGACAAACTCACAAACTTTACCTCTTTATAATATTATATTAGTATAAATTAATTAATAGTGTAGGTAGATAATGACTATAAAATATGTAAAATAATCGATGTTCTCTTTATTATATCGATAGAATTAAATATATTAAGGTCAATGTATTAATCGCTTAAATTATTATTCTACGTAAATGTTCACATAATATTTATTAGTTAACTTAAGCCGGCTAATGCAATGGTATTACTAAAATGTAATAATGCCACCATGTTAATCGTAAACAGGACGATAGGACGCAATACTAGCGTGCAATAAATTTAATATCGTCCGTAATATCAATATCATTGCCAATATGTTTATGTTCTAGACTCTAAGCGTGTGCTATAAATGCTTCTGAACGTGAAAAAATAATTTCGTTATAGGCAATCCATACTTCCATACTAATATTATAAATCTGAAAGTGTGTTTGTTTGTTTGTTTGTTTGTTTGTTTGTTTGTTTGTCCTTCTTTCACGTGGAAACGAAACGACGGATTGGCGTGATTTTTTGTGTGGAGATAGTTGGAGGTCTGGCAGGACATACATAGGCTACTTTTTACAGCGGGAGATTATGTCATTCCCACGGGAAAACACGTTATACCTAATACTACTCAAAAAAATATTTATGATCAGAATTATTTGAAACTTGGTATTAATGCTCTTCAATAAAATTAAATAAATACGTTTTTTAGCATTTTTCGAAATTCATCCCGTTAGGGGGTAAAATAAGGTATGAAAATTTGTATGAAATCTACCCTTTTAGAGATTTTTTGTAGTTTTAGCGCGAGCGAAGTCTCGGCTTCTGCTAGTATTTAATAACTTAGTGACTAACAAAGCTTACTTGAACACTATCTTTTATTATTTTTGTCAACCGATTTTTCAAAATGCTAGTATCACGTATGCTATTAGATAGATCAGTTCGTGGCTTATAGTGGCTAACAGTTATTTTAGTGGGTATGTGCACTAAATATTAACTCTCTCACTGTCGTAAGCCTTAGAACGTTCGACCTAAATGTTACTTATATTTCACACACATACAATGATTTGATGAAATCTTAACACTTCGTTTCAACATTTGTATCTAGTACGGGTGTTAAAAGATTTAGTATTGAGCGATACTTTGCGTTGATAGCGAAGATTGATAGTCTGATATCGAATTATTTTAGTGTAATGCTTAAAAACGATTTATTATATTTTGTGACGCGTATCATATGTCGTAACAAATATAAAATAAAAACTTTGAAATAGCTATCTATATTAAATTTATATTCAGTACATCTACGATTACGATGACTCCACCATTTGACACTGAGTTTCGTAAAAATATCCTAAAATGAGATTTTAATGAAGACTATGAATGAAGAATACGTTTTCGAACATCTTGCTTAGTTCGAGATATCGATTTGTTTCTGACGAAACAAAGAGAATGACTTTTTTATAAGGAAAAAGCGAAACTCAACTGAAACCAGGATTATTATTACTTTCGTAAGCTTTCTCATCATCGAAAGCACAATACGGATTTATTTTCGGTTATAAAAATTATGTAGTTTTAGTCGGACAATGCAGCGACAGACATACTGTATGGCGAAAGATTTACTACTTACGGGGATCATATAATATATAACATATTGTTTTATACTAAATACATAATAAAAAAAAACTAATTATATTAATACTTTTAGGTTCAGAATGCGTGGCGATCAAATGCCTCAGCTGTGCTCATTTACAACGACCGGGACACCACCATGCTAGAAAAGATGAAGCTTTCCACTGACAACGGACGTGAGTATTAAGAATTATTTTAGTTTCTTAATATTGCACAGTTTAATAACACATTTATATACGTAATATACATTATAAGTTTACTTTAAACTTAAACTTGTGATGTAATTTGATCTTATCTAGGAAGTTGTTTTTAACGATTAGACATCGTGATATCGTTTTAACAATTTGTAAATCTACAAATATATAAATAAAAATGAATCACCGAAATGTATGTATGTACGTACGTATGTATGCACTCGCATAACTTCGGGTGCACCAAATTGGATAATTCTTGTTTTTTTGTGTTTGTTATTGTCAGGAAGTTTTGTATAGAAGAAAATTAAAGGATTTTTTTTACTAAAATAAGTTTTTTTTAAATCATCCCTTAAGGGGATGAGAATGGGGATGAAAGTTTGTATGGGGAAGCAAGCTAGGGACGAACTCAAGCGAAGCGAGGGTGAGTCTCTAGTATGTGAAATAAAGATGAAAAAGAATATAATAATTTAATACTATCGATTTGATCTGGCGATGGAGTTAGAAGTTAGGGTGGATCATTTTAATTGCTCCCAGTAAAATATTCTAGTTTCTGCTCATTTATTTTTTTAATACTGTTATTATAAGTAGTTACATAACATATTATAATTTGTTCATCAACTATTAGTACCTACGTCAGAAAAAACAGTAGGTAATAGTAGTGTAATTGATACTTCTTATAAAAGAAAGTCAAAAAAAAGGAAAAGAAATTAATACAAATCTTATTTAAATGATACTTTCTTTGATTTACGCTAACATTTGACATTTTAAATAAAAGTCTCTCCCGTGACCATGATTCATGTAAAACATTCGAAACGTCGGGAACCAAAAATAAAAATAAATCGGCGAAAAAATCCGAAAAGATAGTTTTATTTATTTAAATGAATTAAATAATGGGATCGAAAAATATAACAAATAACTTCAAGCTAAAGCTAAAAGAGGCAGGCCTGGACAAAGACAATCCACAGTGATATGTTGACGATGGGCTTAGCGCTAGATTGAGGCAAAAACGCTAAGAGTTGCGTAAAAGTATCATGAGGGCTGATTCCAAATAGGAAAAAAGCCAGGGGATTGATTCTAAGTTAAAGCTAGTACCTAAATGTCTATAATTTCCCACCACCTTGCCTAGACCGGTATTTGACAATGTTATAGATGTCTTTAATATAACATAAACATCCACATCTGGCAACATAGGCGAGGTTAAAACAAAACTGACAACTGACAAGTAATATGTAAACATCTTCAGTAACAGTACTGATGTTCTTAGTGTGGGTTTGCATTATGAAGACGGAAGTCGACTCTCGACTTTATAGTATATTTTCATTCATCTAATAATAATTGATTAGTTAATTGGTTCCCATATATTCAGTTATATCATATCGGTTCCTAACTCCGTTGTCGCTTATAAAAACAAAGTAAGAAATACACTATTAATAATATTTATAAATTATAACACTACTAGCAGAACTCGCGGCTTCGCTCGCGCTAAAACTACAAAAAAACTCAAAAAAGCTAGATTTATACAAATTTTCATCCCATATTTTACCCCCTTATAGGATGAATTTCGAAAAATTCTAAAACATGTATTTATTTAATTTTCTTGAAGAGCAATAATACCAAGTTTCAAGTAATTCTGAACATAAATATTTTTTGGGATTGTATTATAAGTTAACGTGTTTTCCCGAGGGAATTAGATAATCTCTCGCGGTAAAAAGTAGCCTATGTCACTCTCCAGCCCTACAGCTATATCCAAACAAAAAATCACGCCAATCCATCACTCCGTTTCGACGTGAAAGAAGGACAAACACACAAACAAACAAATAACCAAACAAACAAACAAACAAACAAACAAACAAACAAACACACTTTCACATTTATAATATTAGTATGGATATCAGTAAAAATTGCTGTTAATGTAATAAGAATAGAAACTTATAAGCTTTTTATCGTAATATTAAATGAAGCTTACAATGTCCCAAGAGAGCGGTATTCCTGCAGTCGAGCCACTGCACTAAATCTTGATTAACTTTCTAACTCAGCCTCTCTAACAGGTTACATCAAAGGCTTAGTGCATACTTCATTCTCCACTGTACTTATCTATTTTTATAATTTATATTTTATAATCATAATATTATGATATATGATTAAGTTTTCTGACTCTGTATCAAATGTGATATGGATTTTATTGAATATTAGAATATTATAGTTATAAAATATTGTGTTGTTCATTTAATTTCTATCGTAAAAAAATAAATAGACCCAGATGAGTTATCTATAACCAGTAAATAATTAAAGCATAGAATAAATTAATTAAAATCTTTAATATGTAGAGAACATGTGGGTTTCTGAGTAGAAAGGTGATTTGTAAAATAACTGCTAAGAACTATAAAAGAGGCAATCAAGATACGTGGCAGAGTAGTTTTACGAGTACTTTTTGTTGTGATAGAGGAAGACACAGTGTGGAACCTAATGATAAGTACCTAAGTAAATTAAAATAAAAAAATAAAAATTACGTTATTTTTTTAGTGATATTTATAATGATATCAGTTATGTAAATGCTATGCCTAATATAAAATACATACATTTCATCCGGTAGGTGCAGATAAGTGATGGGAGACCTTCCTTCGGATCTTAGAACAACACTTAATGTACATCTTAATTATTTCTGTGAATCATCAGCAATATCGATTTAGAGATTTGCCCGCGAAAAGGTAACTAACTGACCTTCGCATTTATATTATGAACTTATGGGTAAATATAAGGATGTATACCTAAATATTTGGAAAACTAGAATTTGTTTGTGGGGCTAAGGCATTTATGCACCCTACTAACATTCCTGGAAACCCCCTATCTATATAATCAGAATAAAAAAACTCTGTGGCATACTCTTTGATCAAGGCGTAAACAGTTTCTAGTGTTCTATTCTGCTGCTGTTTGAAAGGATAAGCAAGCAAAGACCATAATGTAGCATTTAAAATATTGGTTAAAAATATGATAATAATGAACTTCAAACACTTTTCTTTAAAAACTTTCGTTAGAAATAATCAAAGTTAGCATAATACAATATACATATTGTTGTTAAAAGGTCAAATCGGTCTAGCCTCCACGAGCCATCAATAATACTGTTATGTAACAACGAGTACCTAACATGAAATGAATATTATGAAAGTGAATTATAATAATTACATCGTCTAATCGCATAGTTTGTTGTCTAACCTGTTAGCATGTTACTGGGTTATCAAGTTGTCCATATATGGATTAATACGTCTTATAACTTGATCTGACTTTGTAATGATAAGTAAAACTTGTTTTGTGTATGTTTTATATTTGGCGCAAGAAAATTAAGAACAAGCAAAAACGACTTAAACAGTTTCTAATTAAAACAGAAAAACTCAAAGTTAAGTTATGTTATACTGTTTTTCTCAGGAACATAATTCAATCAATTTCTTTTTAATTGAGAATTTTAATCTCTTACATCAATCTCTGAAATTGGCGTTTTGTCGAACTGGCTACTTCGATCTAAAATATCTGGCGTTTGATTAGGAATTGTAAATACAAATTTATTTCAAGGCTTGTTTGTGTATTTGTGATTCGAATTTAGTGATTCATTTGTTTTCGCGGCATTTGATTTTTTTTGACATCATTCTGTTCACAATATGGACAACTTAGAATACAATGTTATTTACGATTACAAGTTCCACCGGACACCGGGCAGGGCTACAGAAACAGCTCAAGGGATTAATGATGTGTAGGGGGAAGCTACTACAAAAGAAAACCTTCAGAACAAAACCGTGGACGGTCGGAGACTCTAGTTGACAATGAAGAATTAAAAGTGATCGTGGAAGCCGATCCATCGCAAACCACATCAGAGTTAGCGGCAAGCTTCGGTGTGAGTGATAAAACAATTTTAATTCACTTGAAACAAATTGGAAAAGTGAAAATGGCTTTAAAGCGTGACAGATGAGCATAGGTTACTCCGCCAATGTCTCGTAAAATGGATTATACGTATTTAGAGTACCTACGATGACTGTGACCCAACAAGTTATTTTGGGGTAAAGATTAGAAAATAAAAAAATGTGGCATAACAAACATACCCAGTATTCGATTTTAGTAATTGATCAATATATATATATATATAATTGTTTTTTTTATACTTTCCTATATTTTTAATATTTACTGGTTACCGGTAATGTATAATATTACCCGCTAATGTATAATATTATATCCACTTCATATAGCTTTGACACTTAGATTTTATGCAATATATCACCGTCCAGCTAATCTTACTATATTTATTTGCACTAAAAATAAATATACTTATCTTCTCGTACCAGGAGCCTTTAAGGGCTTAAAATGGCGGTAGCTTATATACTCATGAAGGCCAACCGGATCGGTTTTGTAAATCACACTATAATAAACGAGTCGGTAAAAAGCAGTTGCTACGATTAATGCTGGCTTATTTAATCTTCGACCGTTTACTCAGTTATTAAATAAGGATGATCACAATTGTTATGAACTACAGAAAAAAAATATAAACAGCTATTTAAGGTTCTTGAAATATATTAGTACTTTTAAGTTTACTACGTAGTACGTACCTACCTTTTTTTTCTACACTACGTATTGTATTGACATTTCCGACGTTATCATTACAGATTATAACATGTTATATTTTATTACAAATATTTATAATATAGAGGCAGTGGAAGCCCAGTGGTAACGCGCTCGTTTGAAAAAAAGAGTGAAGCGGGTTCAAATCCCGGGTCACACCTTTGATATTTTCATGTGCGAATCATTTCCAACATGATTACCACTTGTCTTACGGCGAAGGAAAACATCGTGATGTAACCTACAGTCTGAGAGAACCTAGCAAGTTTTCGAAAGACATGTGAAGACCGCCAACCCGCACTTGGCCAGCGTGGTGGACTATGGCCTGATCCTCCCTTGTATTGAAAGGAGGCCCGTGCTCAGCAGTGGGATGTTAAAAAGGGCTGATTATATTTATAATATAACACAGTAAAAAGTATTCATTATTATAAAAATATTTAAAAAAACAGACTGTTCAAGTTTTTCTTATCCACGCTTTTAACTTGAATCTTACTTTGTTTTTAAAGTCTATAAAATTGCAGTTACCGCATTTTACAATTGCAATTCTATATTTACATTCACGAGTTGTAGAATGGCGTATTTATGAGTATGACTCAAAAGTACCGGAGCGGTGCGACTTGCTTCAAATAAGTTATACGTGAAGTGCACTGATTTTGACTTGGTACACTCGTAATAATATGTATTGAAAGCACAATATTATACACAAAAAATTGTTTTTGTTGTTTATTGTTCTGTATTGACTCAACAAAAATAATACAACAAAAAACTAAGCCTAAGAGAGAAATATCAAGATACTTATGTATTTCAAAATTCACAACCCTTTCTTGTTTCGCTCAGTCGTACCCGTACCTTTTGTAAAAAACTAAGATTCCATAGGAATCGCTTAAAGTACCAAGATAAGATAGTACCTCATATAACTCTACAGCCCATACGACACCTATGAAAAATACCACCTCGATATCTTGCATAGGTATAATAGTAGCGGACCCGGTAGACTGACGTTGTCCTGCCACAGTTTGGTTGGAAAACAAATGGTTCTCAATAACGGCACCATTTACTAGGTTCAACTGAAAAGATAGATAGAAAGATATCTAATAAGTAGTTGACCCCATTAATACACAAAAAAAAACATCTTCTGTCAAGTAATGATGTTCTCCTGACCGATTCCGGCCACGGCGGCCAATCTCATTGAGACTAGCCAACTGCACAGGAGATATTATAGTGCACAAGTGTACGCGCAGACACAAGTGCACTCTCTGTTCCTATTACTCTCATACTCCGGTGGGACGACTGCTCGACACGACCAGTGAGAGTTAAGGCGCAGGACCGATGGCTTTACGTGCTCTCCGAGGCACGGGGGTGAAACACCGCCAACTTCTCAACTCCGGGCCGTTACTGAGACATTCTATACAGAAAGACTTAATAACTAAACTTGGCCCGACCCGGGACTCGAACCCAGGACCTCCGGGTGTGCAGCCGTACATGCTAGCCGCTACACCACCGAGGCAGTTAAAGTTAAATTAGTCAATGGAGTAGAAAATTAATTTAAGTTAGTCAAGTATTAGGAGAATTACGAACACACGCACATCGGAATTTTATATACTAAAGATAATAAAGTATTATCTGTTTGTTTTACTCAGAAAAAAATTAAGTCACGTTTAGTGTTGTGATACAAAGCCTTTGTTATAGAAAAGGAATAAACAGTAGAGTAATTGTAACGTTGCCTTGACAGTGAAGCGGGTCGCGAGGTCGCGTCGAGCATTAGAGATCACGCACACTGCAGTGAAACACTTAACTGAATGATTTTATTACATTAAAACTGATAAACATTTTTATCTTTCCTCTCATTTTAAAGTATAGCTTTAATATTTACATTTATAAAATTCTGTAGGCATTCAATGAATAAAATATTATATGTAAACTGATACTGAAATGTGTTAGAATTTAGAGCAATATTGAATTGATTACTTACAAAAACGTTAAAATCAACGCATATTGTGTACAGGCTACGAAAAACAATAAGTCTGTCCCAACGGACTAGGAAAAGTATTTCTTTTTTTATATAATAACAATAATATACACATTGCTTGAAACCACGATAAAGTAGATATAAAGTAAAGACAGTGTCACATCGATAATCTATGCCGATATGCGTAAAAAAACCAAACAAATATTATTATCAATTATAGATATTCTAAGAGGCATCGTTCTCGATTTGTGGAAAGTTTATAGACAACATGATTATATAACAAATAGAATAACTTAGCAAAAATTAATAAAATCTACATTTTGAGTAGGAAAAAAACTTGACCTCTTATAATGTTAGTAGTAAATGAGTCCTAATTAAATATTGAATAGTATAATTAATCTTCTTACTTAATAATGTATATTTATGTAAGTTTTATGTGTAATTTCTAGATCCTTCCGTAATTTTTACTTCCGTAAATGGTGTTATGCTATTATTAAATACAAATTATTTGCGTTATCATAAAGAAAATACCCAAATTGTATTATTCAACTGTTATTAACTTATCTTAACAAAGTGAATATAAGTGATAAGGTGCGGCTGATAGCGAAGAGCTCGACAATCACGTTTACAGCTTGCCTCTAGGCAATCGTGAAGAATTTTTTTTGGAATTTATAATTCAAACGTGATTTTATTTAACATTTTGAACATTTAGATTAGGTGTCCAAACTGTATATGATTATGAGTGACTTAAGTCTATCCCATGACCATGATTGCTGTAAAGCATTCGAAACGTCGGAAACCAAAAATCTAAATAAATCCACGAAAATAATCCTAAAAGATAGTTTTTATTAAATGTCAAATATTCGCGTAAATCTAAGAAAGTATTATATATATATAATACATATATATTTGTACAATATTTTTTTATTAAAAAATCGTGCTTGGGGAATGAATCAAATCAGTGTTTTTTATTCTACCTTTCTGTTAACGCTTGCATCGCTTGAAAACTGCAAAATAAATTACAATGTAACTATATCGTGCACCTTATATGTTGACTTAAAACATTGAAGAGTTTTGTGTCTGGTATCAATTTAAAGCTACTGTGTATAAAATAAATTTTCCAGCTTCTATATTATTATTATTTTTGCTTTTATATTATACTTGCGATTTACCCTCGCTTCGCTCGATTGCTCGAGTGGTCATAGTCTATCTGTGTACTTCATCGAAATCTGTCTAGCTGTTAAGTGTGAAGGTGTAACAAGCATTCACATATATACTAACTGACGACATGTTTGACTCAGTTTGTAGTGACCCTACTTTCTGTCCCAGCGGTCGCGGGTTCGAGTCCCGCTGGGGGCATTCGTGTGATGATCACGAATGTTTACTCCAGTCATGGGTATTTATATTTATAATATGTATGTATTTAAAGTTATATATGTGTAGTGTATCAACTATCTGGTATCCATAACACAAGCCTCGTAGCATACCATGGAACTGGATGGTGTTGTGTGTTAATGTCCCAATATAATATTTATTTATTTAAACTCTTGCTACAATATAATAGTAGTTCGATTTGATTATTTAGTTTATATCAAAACTTACAAAACAAAAAACCTCAGTAACCCTAGCAAACTTCTTACAAGTGCACTCTCTATTCCTATCACTCTTATTCGACACGACTGGTGAATTTAAATTTCCATACACTTACCTCCACATTACTTAATGACTTATTAAAAGTTGCATTTATTGTATCACGATGTTTATTTTTTGTTAGGATACGGACGAATGAGCTCATCTATACTAATATTATAAAGAGATAAAGTTTGTGAGTTTGTGACGTTGTAGTGGGTAATCTCTGGATTTACTTAACAGATTTAGATGAAATTTGGTAAGAAGATAGTTTAAGACCCTAATAAGGACATAGGATAATTTTATCCCGGAAATCATCCCTTAAGGGGGTGAAAATGGGGATAAAGTCTGTATGGGGAATCAAGCTAGGGACAAACCCGATGCCTTCTTATTATGCTAATAACCAGCTTAAAGAGATGTGACGCACAAATATGAGCATATTTGTAGCTCGTGGTTTCTGGCGCAGGTTTTTCCTTTTAATACTATCAAAACGAGTCTATATTATAATGCTATATTTTATTATCTAAATATATATTTAAGTTCTTTATGTTTATTTATAGAATTGAAGATGTTTAAAATATTTGACATTTCAAAGATAATATTGGATTGGAAACGTTTGAGTGGACAATGTTTATTATACTTATTTACAGATAATTGTTATTAGTGTGAAATAAAATTATTTAGTTTTAAAAAAAACTATTAAAATCATTTCAAGTTTAAAGTTTATTTCAATTATTTTGTATACGAGTCGGGACTACTAACATTATAGTTTTTTTTTCATTACAGGTAATATAAGTGCCGTATTCACGTACAAGTGGAAAGGCGAAGAAATCACTCGTCTAGTAGACAACGGAACAAAAGTCATAATAGCAATCATCAAAGGACGCACCTTCACTCACATAAACAGCAATATCAACAAGTATGTTTGTACTTTATTACCAATTTCCTTATTTATTTTTTCCCGTAACACTTATATGACTGCGATTATCATTGTCTTATTTGATAGTTATAGACCGGCTGCAAGATTGTTACGTTCATCGAGTATTTAATATTAATAATAATTAAAATCATTTTTTTATATACAATTATAAAAGGGATAATATGTTTTGGCCGGGTTGCTTATTAAAATGTGTCCGCTAGTATTTTTAATTAAATTAATAATAATTGACCTTTTCTAACAAAATTCATTCACTTGTTATTAAAATAAATTATACTCCAGTTCACAGAAATATACGCCGAGAACATGAATATTTGATTAGATTATCAGGATTTGAACCCTTTCATAATTGTGTATAAAAATTTGATTTTGATTAGACACTCGATAAACGTAGCAATCTTGCAGCCGGATCTCGTACTATTAGGTTTGATACTATTTTGTTTATACGAATTTAGTACTTAATATAAATATGCAATAATATTCGAAGAGCTTTCCTTTTTAACACTTTTATTTGCATGCTTTATTTCTATACCACAAAAATAATATTAAAATATTACGAATTTATAAACGTTTTTACTAATTTTATGTAGATACCTACCTTATTTGTATTTGTGATACTTCGTACCAGTTACCATTTTCTCGTAATTGTTTTCCATTAATTATCTTTGCATTGTTAATCAAATTTACCTCCAAGTGACCATTTTATCCTTATATTTTTATTGTTTTTTAAATCGCACCACTTCGCTGAGGCAGCGCGAGCGAGACGGGTACTATTTACTCGTACGTACAGTATTTATTACGAGAAAAGTTACGTAGTGAAATATGTATTATTTTCTTATAATCATTGTATTCCTGCTAGAATATACGTATTATTTAATATTTTTATATTTTTTTAGATATTCTTCGCATGTTTAAAAATAGTTTTTACATAAAAAATAGTACAACGATGGCATTGATATTGATGGTTTCATTAATTGCGAGATCTATAAATCATTAAAACAAACCTTACCTCATTTAAATAGCTAAAGAAAATATAAATTTACTATCGCTGTTATCTTTATTATCTTAGATTTCTTTATCCATTATCTCTTATATTACGTTTTATTTTGTGTGTACATAAAGCCAGTTTCATAAATTACATTTATTATTTCAAAATCATATTAGATTAAAAGATGCATGTTAATTATTTTTATGAATAAAGTTTCTAATATGTTTGTCTTCTATCTTGTTTTGTGTAATGTGGAATATGACGTAAATAAAATCTAAATTAAGAAAATAGAGTAATATTAAAAAATAAATTAGTTAAAATTGGCTGGACGGACAGACAAAAATATATAAATGTACATATATGTTCATTGTTTTGGACGGTTTTATGCAAATAAGAATAACCCAATATTCAACGCGTTTATTTACGTGGTTTTTTACACAATTTAGTTTTCTATACACATACGTATTACGTATAGAGTATTAAAGGGGTTTATGGTCGATGGCGGGTGGTCAAGGTGGCCTCAATATATAACAAAATGAAATATTCCAGGACATCGGTGCTGTTTGTGTCGATATCGTTCATAGTGCTCATGGTGATCTCGCTGGCGTGGCTCGTCTTCTACTACATACAGCGCTTCCGATACATACACGCTAAAGACCGACTTTCAGTAAGTTTTTCTTAGAATATAATCTTGGATTGGGAAATAGTACTTTTTAATATATAATGAATTCGAGACATAATATCGCGAGGAAACCTGCATGTCTGATAGAAAATAGTAAGTTTCAAAAGAAATGTAAAGTCCGCCACGAGTTGGTCAGTTGGAGCTTGGCATTTGGTCAGGGTGATGGACTATGGGGCCATAATAGCCCGTTGAGGAGAAGAGGGGCCTATGCCCAGCTGTGGAACTAAAGGTTGAATCGAATCATTTAATATTATTTCGTAACATTTAAGAAACTCTGCGTTGATTTTTTTCTTTTTATCTGAAATCAAAATGAAATCTGGTCACTGACCACGGAAAGAATATATTTTATAAATGCATAAACTAGCATCAATCAGCAAACTTATAACATTTTAATACTATACGTTGGTCTTGGTGGTCATTTGCCTCTTTTTTCCTCATCAATTATATATTTAATTTAGAAAAGAATTCAATTTTAATTATATATTTTTTGTTACAGAAACGTTTATGCTGTGCTGCTAAGAAAGCGCTGTCTAAAATACCCGTGAGGAGTTTAAAAACTGATGACAGGGTAAGCGGTTTTATTTTACTGTCAAAATTAAATGTAAATGATATATTTTTAATGATAATATTTTTTTAGATAAAATGCACAATTGTTTTAATTTATTTTTCTAATTAAATATATGGAAAGACCATGTTCAGGACCGATTTTCTTTAATTTACTTTAAATTAAGTTGGCAAGGACGTTGTGTAACATGTCCATTTTGAAGTCGGTCACAAAGTTTTAATAGAGAAACTTTAATTGTTCTATCCCAGTGAATATACTTCTTGAAGAGTTTCGTTTATTGTTTCCATAAGCAATATTCATTTTTAATTTTAGTCAAATGAAACTACGTAATCTATGACATTCATTCGTTATCATTTTTAAATTAACACTAAAGTATGCACATTATGTGCATAAAATATAAGTTAAAATTTTAGTTTTAGACTAACTAATAATATTGGCAGAGTGTCATAGAACTAAACATGAAGCCAAACAATAATGTTTTAAAATAGCTTACAGATATTTATAGAATAATACATATACATATCAAAATGGAGAATAGTAGCATAAACAGCAAATCGCGCTACTATTTTTGACTTTGTTTTTTTTTTGGTGGAATCCTTGTATATAATTCTTTAGTCTGAGATTTTGGTCACCAACAGATCAGCTGATTTATGATTATATTATATTACATGTAAATTATTTAAAGGCCTTATAAGTAATTAGTAATTTCAAGTCATTGAACTTAAATACTTAAATACGTAATTAACCTATCATCATGCATTTTAAATCTATTTATGTAAATAAGATACGAGAGGTGATCTGAGATTTAATGATAAATTAATTTTTGATTTAATAGAGAAAATAAAACAAACCGATAATTCACCAGACATAGGTTGTTTTTAAAAAATAGTAAATTTTAGAAAAATAGCAGGTCATTTAAAGTAAATTTGTATATTGAGTAAATGTTTCATCTGAAAGACTACAGGCGGACTTTGTTCAAAAAATTGATATTATGACTTTTTTCTCTAGTAAACTGCCCTTCAATTAGATCCTAAATATGGCATGTTATTACCGTAACCGTTTGATCATCCACTTGTTTCTCTGTTCGTTTGTGAAAGAATTCCTTTGTAATGCTATTATTAATATCGTTATTATTATATATATATATATATATATATATTTATATGATATATATATATATATTGTCTCAACTTTCGTTGGTATTTGGCTTCCGAAGACGAGCATCTGCCAAGTCTTTCGGGGGCCCTATGGGGATAATGATGAGGGGTTTAGGAATCGACGTACTATCGAGCATGTGTCTTGAACTATTGACTTTTGTAACTTAATATTATTATTATTATTAATTATACGGTATTGTTTTAATATTATGCATTTCTAGACCTTGATTAGATAAACATGAAATGTCTGAACGTAAAGCATTAAGATTGTACATACACAAAGACAAAGTCAATAAACGATAAAAGAAATATAGGTCGCACGTCGTTGGAATTGCAAAACAAATACTAGACATATGAAATACACAGCTTTTATATCCATATTGACACTGGATGAAATGTTTTTTTTTTCAAAAGAATAAAAATGAATATATTTTAGCTATTGTTTTTATAGTTGGGAAATGCATTTATGTATACGACTGTACAAACTGCAAACTGTTTGGATTTTATCTATAACTTAACTTATATAAATAAAAATAATAAGTACCACACGAATGAAAATGATAAAGGCATTTTATGAAATTTTATAACAAAAGAAAATATGTAAAGTATGTGTTTCATAGGAGGTGCAAGGCGATGGCGAGTGTTGCGCGATATGCATCGAGCCCTATAAAGTGTCGGAATCGCTGCGCTCTTTACCATGCAGGTAAAAGCAGTTATAATACTATATTTATTAGGAAATTGTGTATTTTGGGGTATATTCTTTGTTATTTTTTATTTTAAATTGGAGAAATTTAAAGTTAGCTACTGCTGTGCTTGACGCATGTAAAGCTCAATAATGTGAAAACTGAAGTCATATTTAATGCTTTTAAAGTAAATAGAAGAGTTCGTGAAAAGTGTTAAGTCGAATGCAGAAATTTGTGCTAATTATATGTTGTTTTTACATTTTCAGACATGAATTCCACAAAAACTGCATCGACCCATGGTTGCTAGAGCATAGGACGTGTCCAATGTGCAAGATGGACATACTCAAATATTACGGCTTTGTGGTGAGCCATGAATGAAAATATTACTTTTTCTTACATAGATATTAAAATTATTTGTTATACCTATCATTTGTCGACTTTTAGAATTATTAATTTTGAACATCTGTATTCAATCGGAATACTCGCTTAACGGATATAGTGGTACAATTATTGAATTAATAATAAAAATTCATCCCTTTGAACATCTCAGTGCTCGGCACGAGCCTGCCCTTAATACGAGGGGATCAGACCATAATCCACCACATAGGCAGAGTTCATATGTCTTTCGTAAACTATTTAAGTCTTATCAGACATAGATTCCTCGTGTAACTGTTTGGATTGGCTTAGTTCGACAACTTTACTTTAACCGCATGGATGTATGTAACTTATAGATTATATTAATCGCCATAAATAAAATAAAACCTCACTTATTTAAATATATGTTTTCCTTCACCTTATAAATAAATATTAACTCTGCCAAGTATCATTCCAGTTCACGGGCAGCCAGGAGAGTATCCTGCAGCTCGAGGCGGACGAGACGCGCGGCGCGCTCAGCCCCGCCACCAACCGACACCCGCTCACACTGGTATACAAGCTTTATTTGTTACTTATGTCAGGGCTGCCAGATAACAATCGCACAGTTACCCGACCAATATCCCCAAAATACCCGGTTTATCCTGCCAGCGCCAGCATATAAGCAAAATACCCGGGAATAGATTTTTTTTGATGTAATTTATTCATGTTTAGAGTAAAAGAAAGTATTAATGTTAGAAAAAGAAGACATTGTAATACGTTCTCAATTATACAGCTTTAAATGATTACCGCTTAATGAAAATACCCGTCAAAATTATCCACCATCAAAAATTGCCTAAAATTACCCGCTTTTCGGGTAATTTATCCGCCACTTGGCAGCGCTGACTTAATGACTAGCGATTTACCTTCGCTTCGCTCGCGCGTTTCCTATAAATGCCTTTTTCCCATACATTCTATTATTTTATTCGTTAAGGTAACGCTCGCCGATAAAGCAATTTAGCTTTGATGTGATTAATAAAAATATATGTGATTTGTTGTACGTAGTTTTATTAGCGAGAGATAATCAGAAGAAGTGACATCATATAGAGTGACATAGACAAAACAGTGTTGTACTTACTTTAAAAATACTATTTACCACAGATAAAGTAGGGTTCAATTTATTATTACTATAACACTCCCACCTAATTTGAACCCTTTTCTTAAAACAAGTTAATTTTTAAAATGAACATACAATTTTTTATGGCATAAATTTAGTTTGACAAGTTCTCATAAAGAAATATTTAGAAATAATTTATTACAAGTATAGGTAAGATACAGATACTATTTTAAATTCAGAACACCAATTCTTTTTCTAAAATATTGGAACTTGTCCCTAGGAAGAGCTTTAGTAAACACATCAGCAAATTGTTCATTACTCGATACATAATTCAAATCAATTTGTTTTTCTGCATATTTATCTTTAACAAAATTATATTGCACTTCTATATGCTTACAACGCCTATGGTAATCTATATTTTTAATTAAACAAATTGCACTTTGATTGTCTATATTTAAACATATTGAGTCCTGATTAAATTCACCAATATCCACTAAGAGTCCTTTCAACCACATAGCCTCTTTTGTAGCAGAACAAGCAGCCATGAATTCTGCTTCAGTGGTAGACAAAGCAACACTTTGTTGTCGTTGTGTTGCCCATGTTATGGCAGCTCCATTTTTAATAAACACATAGCCAGTTAAAGACTTCCGTGTGGAGATGTCTTTAGCAAAATCAGCATCACAGTAAGCTTCTACTATGTTCAGTTGTGACTTTGAATAACATAAACCATAATCTTTGGTTTCTTTTAAATACTTCAGTATTTTCTTAATAACATTCCAATGAGTGTGATCATAACAATCAAGGTATCTACTCACCAGACTAACTCCATACATTATATCGGGCCTGCTTACCACCGCTAGATGCATCAGTGAGCCTACTGCTTCTCTGTATGGAATCTTCTTATCAGGAGTCTCTGTATTCTTCTCCAGTGTAGTGTGAGGATTAACTGGAATATTGTTACAGTTAGCATTTTGCATATTAAATTTGTGCAACAGTTTCTCAGTGTATTTTGTTTGATGAATGAAAATACTCCCTTCTGATCTTTCAATTTGTAGTCCTACAAAGTTCTTTGGATCACACTGTTTTATTTCAAAATTTTTCTTTAATTCACATATAAGTTTATTCAGAATATCTTTTGATTTTGAAATTAGAAGTCCATCATCAACATACAATAGTAAATACACCTTAATGTCATTTACTTTTCCAACATACACACACCTGTCTTTATGACAGCTTTCAAAACCAAATTTCTTTAGCAAAGTATCAAATTTTTGGTTCCAGCACCTCGGTGCTTGCTTAAGACCATAAAGAGAACGGTTGAGTTTACATACCATATTGTAAGGAGCATCCAAACCTTCAGGTGGCGTCATGTAAATATCTTCCTTTACATCTCCATATAAGAATGCAGTTTTGACATCAAATTGAACAATATGCAAGTTGTGTTGAGCTGCTTCTGAAAATAGAACACGTAATGAATCATACCTTACAGTTGGAGCATATATTTCCTTATAGTCAACACCTTGTTTCTGACTACAACCTTTAGCACACAACCTTGATTTGAAGAGAGGACCAGATGGCTCGTCTTTTATTTTGAAGACCCATTTGCAGCCAATTATCCGCACTCCTTCAGGTTTCTCAATCAATTGCCATGTTTCATTCTTTGCATGTGCATTTAGCTCTTCTTCAGTGGACTCTTTCCATTTTGAAGCATTTGGATTATCAGAAGATAATGCTTCACTGTATGTTAGTGGAACAACCTGTTCTCTTATAATTTCATCTGTACATTTGTAAGCATTGGCTTCTGCTTCTTTATGAGCTTGCATTCTATATAATCTTGCTTTAGATCTTGTTGTGATATTATTTGTTAGCTCAGATGAATCTATAGTTACATCGGGCTCATACAGAGATCCATCATCAGAGTAAAAATCTTCACTTGATTCGTCTTCAGTCATCTTAGACTGTTTCAGAGTGATTTTCTGGGTCTTAGAGTTGTCATCACTTTCACAAGATTCTGAGACAGACTCTGAAAGTGGTACAAGAGAATAATCTCTTTTAACTGAGCTTTCAAGGAAGACCACATCTCTGCTTATTACAACTTTTCTCGTTTTAGGATCTAAAAACCTATATCCTTTGGTCTGTTCACTATAACCAATGAATAACATTTTATTTGCTTTTGAGTCAAACTTCTTTGCTTTCTCTTTTGGAACATGCACCATTGCTTCACAACCGAATATTTTCATATGAGTAATGTCTGGCTTTTTACCACTCCATTTCTCTTCTGGTGTTAAAAATGATAGAGCTTTTGTTGGGCATCGATTAGTGATATATGCAGCAGTCGACACAGCTTCTGCCCAAAATTGTTTCTGAAGTTTAGCATTTATAAGCATGCATCTAGCTCTTTCAAGCAAAGTCCGGTTCATCCTCTCCGCTAGACCATTTTGTTGTGGTGTGTACGGAGTGGACGTTTGATGTGTGATCCCTGATTTCTTAAGAAAAGCTTGAAACTCATTGCTTAGATACTCTTTTCCGTTATCAGTGCGGAGTATCTTTATTCTTGAATCAAGTTGATTTTCAACTAAGGCTTTAAATTCTTGAAATTTCTGGAAGACTTCTGATTTGTTTTTAATCAAATAAACAAATACCTTTCTTGTAAAGTCGTCAACAAATGTAACAAAGTACTGAGCTCCCCCAAGACTTGGCACTTCCATTTTTCCACAGACATCTGAGTGAACAAGTCCTAGCTTCGCTTGTGCTCTAGAACCTTCAGAAGGAAAAGGGATTCTCGTCTGCTTTCCTTCCAAACATGAAATACATGTCACTTTATCTGTCTTGTTTATTTTGATTCTAGCACTCTCCAATAATTTGTTTAAGTCCTCAAAATTTAAATGTGCCATCCTTTGATGCCACAGGTAACAATCATTCTCTGTAGATGTAGATAAGTAGGCTGGAATATTATGTGTATTTAACTGGTACATATTGTTTATAACTTTAGCCGCTGCGACTTGCTTATTATTTTTATTTAGGATTAAACAGCCTTGACTGCCAAACTGTACTTGGCAACCACTATTTATTATCTGACTCACTGAGAGAAGATTAGTAGCCAGCTCAGGAACATATAGAACATTTTGTACCTTGATTGTGTCAATCTTGCCTTGTTTGTTTACAACATTAAGATTTACTTTCCCACATGCTTTCACAACTAATCTCTTATTATCAGCCACTCTTATTGTAGTAATCGGAGGTGGCACCTCATCATAAAGCAATTCACGCTGCATTGTCATATGCATTGAAGCGCCAGAATCTATATACCAATTACTGTTGTTGCTCGTTGTAGCGGAGAACACTGCGACATAACTAGAATCAGTTTGCTCATTCGATTTTTGTTCTTTTTTCTTGTTGCGACAATTTTTACTGATGTGTCCATATTTATTGCACACATAACACCTCGGACCCTTGGACTTGACTTTATTTTGAACTTGTTTGCCAGATTGCAACTGATTTCCTTTGCTTTTCACATATAGCGCATTAGACTCAGAGTTTCTTATATCTTGTAGAAGCTTTGTCTTTACTGAATCAGCTGTAATTTTCACACCAGAGCTCTCAAGTGCCATTATCATGGGTTGATACATTTCAGGAAGACCAGCCAGTAACAGGGTCCCGAGCCATTCATCATCAACATTGAAACCAATGTTTCTCAGTTTATGGGCGGTTGACATTATTCTGTTAACGTAGTCTTCAATGTTTAGACAATTTTCAAGGTTTGTGGTTATCAGATCTCTCAGGAGACCAACCCGACGTGTCAAACCATTATCATCAAAAGCTTTTGCTAGATTATTCCACACATCTTTAGCTGTTTTAGCTTCTTGTATATGTACATAATTTATAGGATGCACTTGTAGAATTATTTTAGATCTAGCTTTCGTATCGAGCTTTGTATCAATGGCTTCATTTTCTTTAGAAACGACACAACTCCATAAATCTTCGTGTTCGAGATAAGTTTGCATAGCAAATCGCCACGTTGAATAATTTTCTCTTCCCGTCAGCTTTTCTATCAGTGCCATCGCATTATTTAAAGACATTTTGCCAATGAAGAAAAATTCGACTTACGAGAACACGTGCGGAGTCTTAGGTTATGTCTTACTAATTTTACCAGAACTACGTACTTTTATTTTTATAATTTTAAAACACTTGTACTTTTTATTTTAAGCAATATTCAGGTGGCCTGGGCCCATAACCTGATGTGATTAATAAAAATATATGTGATTTGTTGTACGTAGTTTTATTAGCGAGAGATAATCAGAAGAAGTGACATCATATAGAGTGACATAGACAAAACAGTGTTGTACTTTAAAAATACTATTTACCACAGATAAAGTAGGGTTCAATTTATTATTACTATAACAAGCTTTTATTGACTTTAATAATTCAGGTGATTATGATTTTTGACGGTAAACACATTTTTATCGAAAAAATTAGTCTATAGCGCTGTGCGGTAATGTAGTTTCCTATTAGTTAAAGAATTTTTAGAATCGAATCAGTAGTTTCAAATATTACCTACCACCTACGTACAAAGTTATAAACTTTACTTTTTTATAATACTAGCGACTCACTCACGCTTCGCTAGGGTTCGTCCCTGGATTGCTTCCCTGATACAAACTTTCACCCCTTTAAGGGATGATTTCCGGTATAAAACGTATTCCATGCCCTTTCCCAGGGTCTCAAAACTATTTTCTTACCAAATTTCATCTCAATCGGTTAAGTAGATCCAGACATTACCCCCTACAAACTCACAAACTTTACCTTTTTATAAAATTAGTGTAGAAGTATAGATTAATATAGATTATAGGTATATATTAATAATTTTACTGAGATTAGCCAACTGCACAGGAGATATTAGAGTACAGCGCGTATGCGCGCAGACACCAGAGCACTCTCTATCCTGTCACTCTCATACTCCGATGGGATGACAATTCGACATTCGCAGGCAGGAGATCAGGTGCAGGACTGACGGCTTTGCGTTCTCTTCGAGGTACGGGGGTGAAACATCGTCAATTTTCCACTTCCGGGCTGTTACTTAAACTTTCTTACAGAAAGACTTAACAACTAAACTTAGCCACCCGGGACTCGAACCCAGGACCTCCGGATCAGTTATAGGTATAAGCCAGCGATACCTAGTTTATAAGTATAATATATAATATGTCTGTGTAATTCCAGCTGACCAGCGACAACTCGTACTCGGAGGCGGGCAGCGAGCGCAGCAGCCGCGCCGCGTCGCCCGACCGCCTCGTGCCGCCCGCGCCCGACAGGTCCCTACCGCAATATTCTGTAGTACATACTATACAGGGTCATTTTTAATTTACTGAAAACCTTTTGGGAATATACTATTTACATCATAAAAACAACATCTGTAACAAGAAAAAATAATATTTCTTAAATTTTTGTTTTCGTACAAAAATAAAAATATTTTTTTTTGCACCTTATAAATTTTAAAGTTTTAGCATCTGGCCAAGTTTAAATAAATAAGCGCGGCTTCCTTCGGGGTGGACCCCTCCCCCTCCACCGGACAAGCACTTTCTTTTGCTAATGCTAGACTATTACCATTGAGAAGGTGCAATAAAAATATTTTTATTTTTGTTAAATTTAAGATATATTTTTTTCTTACAGTTGTTGTTATGTTGTAAATAGTGTATTCCCAAAAGGTTTTCAGTGAATTAAAAATGACCCTGTATATAATGACTTTATTTGGATTTGAGATAATTAATGAACATAATTATCTCAAATCAAAATAAAGTCATTAATAATATATTTAAGTCTGCCTTCAACTGGTCATTGTGAAATATGACTTTATAATTTTATGCAATCTAATTGGTCGGGGGGCGTGGCTAAGCTGGTAGACGCCCATGACTCACTATTTTCTTTACGCGAATGAACTAGTCCCACGTACGCGGATATCCCTACAGAGATGAGATATGCTTCATTCAACTCCGCAATCATAGGTCGATAATCGAATCGATAATCGATCGAATCAATTTTTAAATCCCAAATTATGCAGCTATACATGAAAACTCTGTGTAAAATATAATTATTTTTTATAATTTAAAGTTACGCAAGGAGAACTTAAGTGGATCTTATTTAGTTATGAGTAGTATAGTAATTATTTCTATTCGGGATCCCGTGAAATTGAAAATGTTCAGTCCCGCACGTGCCCTAATTGAAAATATTTTTTTAGATTTACGCCAATATTTGACATTTTAAATAAAACTTATCTTTTAGGATTTTTTCGCAGATTTGTTTTGGTTTTTGGTTCCCGACGTTTTATTTTTCTGTCTCTCCCGTGACCATGATTGCTGTAAAGCATTCGAAACGTCGGGGACCAAAAATCAATAGATAATAATTCATTTATAAAAATCTATTAAATTATATCTTGAAATTTATTTAAAACTAGAAATAACAATTTATTATTCTATTTTACTCATTTATTTTATAGTTAGATATCGTTTTATAATCATAAAATGTTGACAAATTTGTTACCGATAATTCAAACTAGATGGCAGCATAATCGGGTGCCTATAACTATCACAGAATAAATACTTAAACAGTTGGCGGTTCATTGATTCTAACGGAAATGCATGGATTGTCAAAAGTAGCGATTAATTGAATAGTTTTAATGTTAAAGCGTAGTGACATATCGTGGAAAGTTAATTATACTCGTCCATCTTAAATTATTTCCCGATTGTTATATAATTGTAAGTACGACAGACGGGTGCGCCTCACCCGCGCCGTCCCGCAGGATTAACGTTTAGACCAGCTATTCTCAACCTGCGGCCCGCCGGGCCTTTGTTATTGGCCCATCTGAAGTTACATCTCAGAGGTGGCTTCCGTTTTAAATTGTAATTACTCAGAGTTGTTTGATGAGTTCATCGATTTTGAAAACGATACCAATCTAATCTGTTTAAAGAAAAAAGGAAAAACAGACCATGACTGAAACGTGTTTGTGGCCCCTATAAAAAAAAGGTTGAGTATGGCTGCTCTAGACGCTTTCACTAAATTATTGTATGGATAGTACACTAGACTAGAGTAGAGTAGACTAGAGTATTACACAAGGCGAGTTTACGTAATCATTGCCCCTTGTTGCACAAAAAAAAAAACAAAATCAAAATTGTTTATTGAAAGTAGATTTGTTGAACAAATTCTTTTTCATTGTCGTTTTATATCAGTAAAACATACAATGTGTTTAATAATATAACAGTGTAAAATAATAATACATTTTATATCACGGGTTTTGTACCCGTTTTTTTGACTCGACAGTTGACCATGTCAGATTGAGTGCGTCACGCTCCAAAGAAAATGAACACACGCCGTATTTAGTACATATTGTTGCGCGGTTGTATGAAGCTGTCTCTGTAGGGACTTACTCATGTGCGTAATCAATATATTCATTAAACATTCAATCGAGGCCACGTGAAATGCTTTAAACTAAATAAATACATTATATGTTAAGCCGAATGCCAAATAAAGAATAAGTATATTTTATATTTCCAAACATTCACAATTCACATGCCTTATGTATGTGTGGATTAAACTAATAAATGCAGCAAAATATAAAAAAAATACGTTTTATAAAATCGAATTTTATGCTTTTATTACTTATTATGTTGTTTTAAAATACGATTTGTAATAATGTAGATCGTGCAGCGGGTCCCAGTCGCACGGCGAGCGCGCAGACTGCGCCCACGACGCCGCATCCATCAGCTCCCACTGAGCGGCCGCAACCCTCCCCGCACCCGTTAGGTCCCTGCGCGACCCCCGAGACCCTGTGCGACCCCTTGGGACACTCCGTCTTCCTGCGCGCCCCCTCGAGGCTGTGCGGCCCCTCGAGACACTGCGCGATCCCTCGAGATCTTGCGCGAGCCTTCGAGATACTGCGTCAACCAGCGCGACCCCTTGAGATACTGCGCCATCCCGCGCGACTCCTCGAGACCCTGTGCGACCGAGTGATGTGTTCATTATCACTAAAATACTCAAAAAAGTAAAAATAAAAAAAAAAACTTCCAGTGATAGTTATGGTGACAAGTGATATTTTATATGAGCTATTTAGTATGGACTAGAATAAACTGCGACTCCGCCTAGTCAACGTTATATTGTTACGTTTGTGCGCTTTATCTTTATTGTATCGGAATGACCAAGTTAATTAATGAACTAAACCAATATCGTTGGCAAGTATATCAGCTATTTAAAATATTATGTAAACAGACAGATTTTATATATATATATATATTAAAATGTATGTGACCCACATTTACGTGACAGAGTGATTGTTATAAAAACTAAATAAGTATAGCATAATGAATTACTCTCATCATTATGGTATACATATCTATTTAATCTCTCTTTATAGAGCCAAGTTTATTAAAAATAAAAAGCTATATAAAAATTAAAGGACACGGGTTCAATTTTAGCAATACACAAAAATTTGTATGATTTTTTTGTTTATATTCATATGTTTGAACCCGTTTTTGTCCTAAAAATCAATGAAATAGGAACTAGGTGTTGCTATATCCTTTATTTACATAATATAAGGGAAGGGAAGTAATTGAACTAATAGAAAAAAATAATTAATTTTATATAGGTTTTAAAAAAAAGCGCATGAGTGTAACGCACTGCACTTAAAGAAGTAAAATTAAGCCAAAATAGTTTTTTTATCTACTTCTTTGGGTGCAGTTCCATATTAAGTGTTAAAGAGTTCTTCTATTTTTTTATCTGTGGCTCGATTTTTTAACTTATTATAATATTTCAGTAGTAAATTGAACTAAGAAGCTAGACCTATCCAATTATATAATTTACTTTTGACAATAATTAGTAAAAAGCCAAGAAATCGAGCTATAGATATATTTTGAGAACATTTTGACCAAACCATGTGTAATGCCATTCATGAAGTATCGAGCCCTCGAAATTGTACTTAACACATTTGGATGATCTCATATCTGTATCGATAATATCCTAAAATCATGAGTTTGTGCGCGGTTGTGGCCCTCCTTCTACCTATTAATAATATTTGCAGTGAAATTGTCCGTCCAATGTTGCTAATTTTCTTTAGATGTCTAATAAATAACCTAAAGCGATTATGATCGACCTAAATTGTAAATCGATAGTCGTAAATTGATCTTGAATTCGATTTAGTTTGTTCGAATAATCGCAATAAAAAAGTTTTACTATCTTTTTAGTGCATGCGTTATCTTTACATTATCTAAAAGATTAACGGTTTACGATGCAAGTGTCAATTATAACCGCTTATATAGGTGAAATATTCGTGCTTTCCCCTAAAATAGTAAACTTAGGAATCCGGTCAATATATAGTATGTTCGCAGACATACTATAGAATTGCGCTCGGCGCTCGGGCTCCAGGGCGTCACAACCTGCTAGTGTAGATCAGAATTTCGTGGCTCTAACGGTAGTTAATAAAATCTAGTCTGAATAACTACGAATGTATCGCTTTCGAACCGCCCGAGACGAGGCGAAGCGAAGCGATCGATTCGTTCATTTATATTTAAGTTTTTTTAAGCATTTAAGTTATTACTTACGATACCGTGTAAGGTACTTATAAAATCCATTGGATTTATTATTAACAAGGAGACTGGTATGTACTTTATGTAACTATATCATGTAAAAATATATTTACATTCCCTTCAAATGTTCTAAATCGTGTGTTGAAATAAAAACCAATACAGTATTTGATATTTGCGTTTTATTGTACAAATGCTACCGACACCTGATGTAACAAAAACAGTACTAGTACTGCACTTATTTTAAATAAAAACGAGTTATACTTGTTTGGCGTAACAGAACAAAAATAGCTAAAGATTTCATCCCGTATGTCACAACTCTCGGTTTTTAAAAAGAATGCAACTAACTTCATCATGTCGCCTTTTGGCTGTCGGTGTGCGCGCGCACCGTATAAATTTTACTCTCATAATTGTTTCCAAACGTGCCAAAAGAAGTATAACTTCAAATACGTAACTAGTAGTTAAAAAAACATCAAAAGCTTATGTCATTGAAAATTATAAGTTACATATTCAATATATACAGTTACTTATTTTAAATATTTTCATAAAGAAATAATGAGAAGACATCAATTACAAATCTTTTCTCAACTGGCTTTTTAAGCACTTACATGACTGCTACCTTATTATTACAAAATATACCACACTAGTAAGATATACAGGACAACGTCTATCGGGTCAGCTAGTATTCTTATAATTTATATCAATATTATTACATATATGTAGTCGTTCGATTTAATGTTCGACGCCTAGTTTTAGAGCAGCAGTTATATAACAGTATACTTGACTGACTCTACTTCGCTTATGATGGTCTATCTCACTAAGGCTAGCCATAGCTAAGGAGATATTGATCTCTGTATTCCTTTCACTTTCACAGTCTACACGAAATATCAAGTACAGTATTCTATACAGCGGCATGACATGACGGTGTGACAGTTTCCAACTGCCCCAGCCATTGAATTTCTCGACAAAAACCCCAATAACTATTCTTAGTCCGACTCGGGGCTTAAATCCTAGACCTCTAAAGTGAGAGACTGTACAAAACATCCACATTAATCAAAAGTATAATATTACACAAAAAACAGCTTAAAATCGTTGTATCAATTTTTAAATCCTATCACCAACACTTACACTCAAAGTATATGAGAATAAAATACAAGTCAATTTACACACTATTTTATTGCCTTTCAAGAAGTAAATTAAGAAAATTAAGGAGACAAAAATACATATAATTTTTATATTTTTCAAATCAGAACTAATCTATACTAAATATAAAGGTCTATATTTGCTTACACGCTAGTTTGTGGTTAATTAACTACCAGTTAGAATTGACAAATTCTTTTTACATATTATATAATCAATTTATTAAGGAGGGCTTAAGCTATTCTTTGAATCTAAGCAGAGCAATTATACAAAAATAAACTACGCGAGCAGAGTCGCAGGTAAAACCTAGTACATATGTATTATGTATACTACACTTAGAAAATAAAGTTAATATAACACAAGAAATGATACATAATTTATTTCAAAATTCTCTTACAATACTGCCGTAGCATTAATTATCGAAACTACAACACAACAATGAGCATGGAAAATATTTACAATCAGTAAAAAAAAAAATTAAAATTACTTCTAATTTTATAAATTAATTTATTTATATAAGTTTTTTTTTCCTAATGTACCACTACACGGTTATTATCACTAATGAAAGAAAATATTATTTACCTATTATGGTCTATATTTTATTTATCAGGTTACTGTTATTGAAGTGTACATTTCTTCAGAAGCGTTGAGCGATTTTGGTAGTGGGAAAACTCGTGCGTTCGCGTCACCGACACGTTACATGTTTACATAATGCAGTCTGGCGCAGACATATGTTTTGGTTATTTAATAAACTAAATCAAAATGGAAATAATTATTGCTAGGAGTGCCAAATGGATGTGAAAACCAGACTAAAATAATTTCAAATTACAAAATTTCAATTATACATACTATAATTAATTTAAAAATAAAACGCAGTTATTCCAAAGTTATAAGTTTTCACTTCTGTCGGCAGTCCCTATGACTGCCAATTTAAATTTTTTATTCATAAGTTACACTACATAGTGTCACATTAAGAATATAGTTTAGAAAATTGATAAAACTTCTATACAATAATAACAATATGAAAGATGTTTTTAAAAACCTTATTATAACAAATTCGGTAATAAATTGATTAAACCTCTTAGAAATAGTAAATTTAAGTTTGTAGTTAGTTACCATACAATTTGTGGCAAACTTGAGATTAATTTAATAAGATATACAGAGCGTATAGAACAAAAATTGTGAAGCTAATCGTATTCTTTAAGCCTACAAATAGAATACTATTTTAGGCATCACTTCTTCAAGATGAGGTCTACTACCTTTTGTCTTTTAGTTTGAGGTGGTGGAGGTGTACATATATTCCGATCTTACTCACATGTAATATAACATAAAAGGATATATGTACGTCACGATCGTTGAAATTTGCTATTAATTATAACATAACACTATTGTATATGTATACCATACATATATGGGTTTCTGCATATTATAGAGATTAAGATACTATTCTAGAAAACTTCGCATTATAAAACTACACTTTAGTAGATAAATTATTTGAACTGCATGAAATTTTATTATGATATAAATAAAAAAATAATAATAATGAAAAATTACAATTCATAAATTTAAAAAATAATCGAATGTTTCAAAGCGTTCCTTTAGCGTTAAAGCCAGAAAGTTAATTTAAGCTTCAATATTTATCATATTTAATATTTATCCCATGATATCGTTTGAGATAATTTTTTATTAATTAATTAGACCAACTCCAAAAAAGAAATAATTAATGAAGCTTTATGTATTTCGTGTATTTTATGATAATTCTTCCTCAATAAATGGATTAAAAACTGAAGGGTTACATAAAAATTTAATAAAGAAAAATTACACGTCCACGTAATTATATATTATTAAAAAAAAACTAAGTCAGTAAAATTTTTGAGTTGAAGAATGATAATAAGTTCAATCTGTACAATTTCAATATAAAACAATATTGTAAGACACTATGGATGTCCGTATATGCATAATTATTGACGCAAAACACTTTTATTATTAAACAATGAATAAGATTTTTACACAGTTCAAGTCAATTCAATATTCTTAATAATGGCTACGAAGCGTGCCACTTACTTTTACACAGCAATTCACTCATTCAGTCAATTTGACAGTTCTTATAGAAAACACCCTTTCCCCATCCTTTGTGCAATTGTATCGCAAAATCCCTTTGATTTTTAATAATATTTCCCATCACATTTATCTCTGATTTTAAAATGAGAATAACATCATTATTGGTCCATCCCTATATAACAGATGTAATTTATAATGCTTGTTTGGTCAAGTCCGTGTTATTTTGTTAGAGACGATAACTTCATCAAGTGAGAAGAGCACATATCTCTTTGAAGAAGAAATCGTCAAAGTTAAACTCCGATCATTTATCCCAGAGACCGTTTTCTTTCATCTTAGCTTGAAAGTACTTTTCCAATGTGTTGGCGCATCTGTAACGTATATGCAGTTTTTTATAAAAAAATAAATATTTTTTTATTGGAACATGAGAGAACCATTTACAACTAAGATATGTACGATATAACAATATAATAAATAAGAAAACCCATACATTACCTATAATAATCAGTATCGGGGGAGTTGTACAGGCGGCAGTTGGAGAAGATACGCGCCATGTCGGCCGCGAACAGACGTTTAGAAGAGTAGTATCGCGCCTTTAGACGCTCGCCCATTGTACGCAGGTCTTGTGGAAACACATCAGATACAAACATATTGTTATTAACACAATATTGTTAATAATGTTTTTTTGGGTCTCGAAATTTTGAATGCTATATCGCAAACGTGGTAATGGGTGACTGGTTAGCTGTAAAGCATCCGAAACGTCGAGAACTACTATTATATATATAAATTATTTTATATAAAGTTACTCACAGATATTTCGTTTTGACATTTTAAAACTACTATTAAAACTGTAAGTATTGAATAATACCTTTTATTTTATTACTAGCGACTCACCCTCGCTTCGCTGAGGTTCGTCCCTAGGTACGTTTTGCTTAGTATGGAATAAATTTTCTTTTTAATTGCTATTTGTGATTTTTCTCCGATGTTTCAATAATTATTCTGCTATTCGGAGTGATGACATATCCAACAAAACAAAGATCATAAGATCCGTCCGGCAGTTCTCGAGTTATAAGTGTTGTAACAAACCCGACCTTGTTTTATATACATAGATTATGAATCATTTAGTAAAAATAAGAAATATATTCAATCATGGGTTTCTTACCCATCGGATACTTGATGTGGTCGTAGTAGTCTGGCACCTCGCTCTTGTCCACGGGCTTTAAGAAAGGCCACGCTGCGGCGTGATTTTTAACCTGTATTGATTAAAAAATATTCACGTCATTCCAATCACGTTAAAAAAAGCTTAAGCAAGCTTATAATAAGTAAATAAGGGAATGCCAAGTTCTCTGTATGTATCGGTTTATTTTTATCTAGCACAGACACCAATCACTCACAAAGGCTTACATTACTGTTATTTGTTAAGTTTATGATGTAACAAACTTTGCTATATATTAGCTTTTGTGATGAGAAATATATAAATGATTATTATTCATTATGTTCACACTCTGAGAGCACACTTGTATCTGCACTATAATATCTCCTGCATCTCCATTTATTCTCCATATTAGATGGTTAGTCTCCATGAGATTGGCCGATGGCCCGAAATCGATCGGGAGTACATTATTATTATTGATTATTATTTTTGTTTATCTATATTTAATATTATAAATGTGAAAGTGTATTTGTTTGTTTGTTTCACGTCAAAACGGAGTGACGGATTGGCGTGATACTTTTTCTCGCGGGAAATTATCTCATTCCCACGGGAAAAACACGTGATAATACAATCCAAAACATTTGTATGATCAGAATTACTTGATACTTGGTATTAATGCGTTTTAGCATTTTTCGAAATTCATAATATAGTATGAATTTAACCCCCTTATAAGGGGGTAAAACAGGAGTGAAAGTTTGTATGAAACTACCACTGTAGATATTTGTTTAGTTTTAGCGCGAGCGAAGCCGCGGGTTCTGCTAGTAATATATAGTTATATTTAACAGTATTTTTTTTCTTTTTAATGTATCTTTTAACACTTAATGGACCTGCTACTTAACACTATCTTTCACATCCATGGGTTGACTGGAGGAAATCCCTTTTAGGGATAAGTCCACCTTTGCCTTTGTCCTTTAATATGTAATTTCAATATTTTGTTTTATAAGTGCAATCTATACAGATAAATAAAATTGAAGTGTTTTACTAAATCCATACGAGATTATATACGGTAGTTATAAGAAAAACACATTTTTTTTTAAATTTTGTCTATCTGTCTGTTTGTTCCGGATATTCTCTGATACGGTTGGTTTGATTTTGACGGGACTTTCATTGGAAGATAGCTGATGTTATAGGGAGTAAGTAACATAGGCTACTTTTATTTTAGTAAAAGAATTAGGGTTCTGCTCAAAAAAATAAAAACCTACCTAGGGACGAACCCGAGCGATGCGAGAGTGAGTCATCGTGAGGTTTCCTCACGATGTTTTCCTTCACCGTAAGACATATGATAATAATCATTAAGAAAACCTCAGTAAAGAATATATAATTGTGTATGTACTATGTATGTACGTGTGTGTGTTACCGCGTTGAGTATGGAGCGCAGCGCGGCGGGGTCGGGGTCGGGGTCGGGCGCGGCGCGCGCGCGCGCCTCGCGCCAGCCCGCCTCGCGCACGCCCGGGATGCACTCTATCGGGATGCTGCGCACCTGCGGACATACGTACACACTAACATACACGACGCGTGCGCCTCAGTTTGCAGTGACACCACATACGAACATAGAACCTCCACCTTTTTGGAAGTCGGTTAAAAAACTACAAAATATTAACAGAAAGGATTGGTCTATAATCTCCACATTTGAAGTAGCCAAAATGTTACTAACGCCTTCCTTGAAGCAGGATAAACCGGGATGTATTTTTCTAACTTCTTTTTGTCGCATGTCGATCAATTTTTTCACTATCTGAAAGTAAAAAAGAAAAATGATATTAATTTTGTTTCATTCGTTACTTTCAATACAATTGTATAATAAATTGTGTACTGTACTGTGTACTGATTTTTATCACTATAATAATAATGTCATTAACACGTATAGTCCATATACTAAATGACATAAAATCGACACCAATATTTCAAAACAAAATCATCTTATTTTCTTAAAAATTAAAAAATACTTTTTTAATAAATATCGATATTATTAATTATACATGCAACCGTCATTGTCTTTTTATTTGATATAGTAGAATAAAATTATATTTTGCACTGGATATTAAAAAAAATTAAACGTATGTAGAGGATGCAAGGTCATGTTGTACATGTATGTTTGATAGATTCATGTAAATGTATAAGAGCACGCGCGAGCGCGCGTGTGTGTGTAGATGTGTAGGTGTGTGTGTGCGTGCGTACCTCCTTCTGCGTGCGTATGACGGCGGTGAAGCGCGTGTAGACGATGCGCGGGTTGAGCTCGCAGTGCATGAGCGTGGCGCCCTCGTAGTCCTTGATGTAGCCGGCGTACATCGCGCGCGGCAGCTTGATGTCCTTGCTGAAGCCCTGCTTCTTGAAGTACCCTGCATAATGCACATCGAGTATTTTGTCTCTTTATTTATTTTTGTCGTGATTTTCGTCCTAGGTTACTTTCTCATACAAATTTTCATCCCCATTTTCACCCCCTTAAAGGATGATTTTCGGGATAAAACTATCCTATGTCCTTTCCAGGGTTTCAAACTGTCTTCTTACCAAATTTCATCTAAACCGATTCAGTAGTTTCGGAGTTTATTCGGTACAAACAACAAACAAACGTTCCCTCTTTATAATATTATCTTAATATATATAATTCTTCTGTACGTGTGTTTGTTAACCTACTGCTCCTAAAGGGCTAGACCGATTTGGATGAAATTTTGTGTGTATATTTCAATGGGCTCCCGGATGGTTTGTATATACAATTGACGATCGAAATTACCGGTTGAAATGAGATTTTTTGCATTACATTTGGCGAATCTTTGTTAATGGTAAACTGCATATATGATAAATGTAAATTTGTCACTTGTAAATAAATTAACCGGTTTATTTCGGTAACAAAACCTTAGACCTTTCTCTAAGATTAACCATTATTATTCGGTTTACTAAACCGTTTGTTTTTATTAAGCGGTTAATGAACGAGTGATGAATTAACTGTTACATTACCGAAATCAATAGTTTTTTTTACATACAGGCTAACGTTAGGCACTCAGGTACGCATCGGAACATAGCTAGGTTATGCCACTAGTTTAGCCACTTATTGTTGCTATAAACATAATAATATCTCTTACCGATAGCAAATTCATCAGCGAATGTTAAGAAATGCAGAATATTATTTCTAATGTGGTAGTCTTTGAGATGGTTCATGAGATGTGTTCCGTAACCCTTCACTTGCTCGTTCGATGTTACAGCACAAAATACTATTTCGCTAAAACCCTGAAAAAAAGAGATTTATAGTAATATAATTTATTATTGTATAATTATTTTTGACTAGGAAACAATTTGCGATGTAAAGATAATTTCCATAATCTATACTAATATTATAAACAGGTAACGTTTGTGAGTTTGTGATGTTGTAGAGGGTAATCTCTGGATCTACTGAACCAATTTAGATGAAATTTGGTAAGAAGATAGTTTGAGACTCTGGAAAGGACATAGGATACTTTTTATCCCGGAAATCCCTTCCCTTCTTCCCTTCAGGGGTGAAATTGAGGATGAAAGTTTGTATTGGGAATCAAGCTAATTTTGAAGTTCATAAAATATTTCTTTTCTTCTTTATTCTACGTGACATTGGCAAAGTAATCTTTGTTCAACTGTCACGTATTGATGTCAGTAACAAGAACAATGAATTGAACTGAATAAAACAAATAATGTGTTAATCAACACATATATTTCTGTATAACAAACGAGTTAAAAAATTAAAATAATTAGAATTTATTTTAATGGGTCATAAATTAATAATTTGACCGGCGACATATACAGTATGTTCTATTATATACAGCGTGTTTTATTATACAGCGGGTTCTATTATATACAGCGTGTTTTACTATACAGCGTGTTCTATTAAATTAAAAAAGTTTTCTGACACCTTGTAATGTTGTTTACCTGTGATTTAAACGTTCTAAAACATATTCCTCCAATTGGCCTTCCTTCCTTAATCAAAGCTAGTGTTTTGTGTTTTCTGTAACAAAAAAGTAATAATATTATGATAAATGGTAAAGATTGTTTGTTTCTCTTTCACGCTCACGCAATAATGTAACAACGTATTTAAGTGAAATTCGTAATATATATTTTACTAACATCTTTCACTAGAAAAACAAAAACAAATAAATCCCACGGGGACCGTACATTTTTTCAGGATAAAAAGAAGCCTATGTATTATTCTCATGTTTGAGCTATGTTATTGTAAAGTTTCATTAATATCCATTCAGTAATTTTTACGTGAAAGAGTAAGAATCATCCATACATCTATACATCCAGACATCCTCACAAACTTTCGCATTTATAATATTAGTAGGATTATCGTTTACTAATACATACTTTATTTTTTATCAACCAAGTAAGGGAAGCTGCGGGCAAAGAATAGGTTTAAATAATAAAATAAAATAATAATTATAAACTATGCTAACAGACTTACGGATCGAATACTAGTTGAGAAATATATTCTTTGGTCATTTCGGGCAATTGGTGGGAAAATACATTGTGGAGACCTGAAACAATATTGAATAACTTTAATATTTTTGACAGTGTATTTTTGAGATGGGACAGTAAGGGCAGGTGCCTTAACGGCTATAGTTACAAGAAAACGTTCCTAGGAGACCATCCATAACTTTTGAGTTATTCTGAACTGTGTTCAAAGATTTTGGAAAAAATGTACAGTTAGCGAAAAAAATGCTAAAATACCAAAATACTTTTTTTTATGTCAATCGATCCTATTTCATGTAGGGATCAAAAGACTCTATGGGACCATTTAAGGTATGAGTACTAGAAATTACAGAAATCACCAAAAACTTTTCCCACAAATTTTGTACGGAAAAACGATTATAAATTATAACAATACTTTAGTTCCCAAACTTATTAATAAATGATGCTATCTTCCAACAAAAGAATAAAAAATCTAACGCAGTTGAACGCTAAATAATAGAACCAGTAATCAATCACCTATCAACCACAGCATGGTCTGCTTATTGACTGCGCCCGTGAGAGAGTTCCCGATCACATGGAACTCTATCAGCTTGCGTTGTTCCTCCAGCTTGGCAGCTTCGTCGCGAGGCGCTTGCATTTGGAATAACGCCTGGAAATAAACATCTATACATAGTAGGATGGCTCAAAAAAAACTGCCATTTTTTTTACGTCTCTCGTATGAAAATATGTTACTTTTTCATGTTTAAGAGCCTCCTTAAAAATCTGCTCTTAAAAAAATATTTTAGAGATCGCTCAAAATCGTCCGACCCGATCGAAGTGAGGATGAGTCGCTAGTTTCTATTATATATACCTACTTAAAATTCAGATTTAAGTATATTATAATTTTCTGACATATTTTAATCCAATTATATTTATATGTAACATTATTTATAACTTACTTTAATATTTCTTTTTACGTTACTACTGCTCGATATATAACACGATGGAAAGACCAATCTTAGAATGAGATTTGTGCGAAGATAAAATTAGTTTGACACTGATAAGATTACCTAAAAAGCCCAATGTTGCTTATCTTTTGGTAGATGACCATATGGTGTAATACTCGTCTACCTGACCACTGCGCTATAAAGGTATAGTGGCAAATACGTATAGGTGCAGATTTTGAGGCCGTGGATTCGAGGCCCGAATGCAGTAATTGGATTTTATTGTTAAGAAGTTACCAGTAAAGTAAGTCTTTAGAAGAGTGAGACACGTTGACCTTGCAATATAAAACTAGTAACTTGCGTATAGCATAAAGAAGATATAAGTGATTAGTCGAATATACGATAAGTTGTATGTAAAAACTAGTCAAGTCAAATTTTGAACTTCAATTTATCCTAAGTTATCTACTCTGTGTAAATAATGATTGTTCAAATTTAAGAAATTCTATTTTCAAATAGCAAACTTTTTGTAGCCAAAAAAAACAAGAAATTGTGTTTTATATTTATTTTAGAATGTTGTATGTTCTTATTAAAAATGATAATTAGTTTAAACTTTAAAAATATAAAATAAAAAATTTAATCATAAATGACAAGTGAAAATTATAAAAAATAAAATAAAAAGTGTAGTAGTGTAAGTCCAGGAGGTGCACTCAGTACTCACGTCGGGCCCGCACATGTAGTTGGGGTCGGAGATGGTGGCGACGATGTCGGCGACGGTGCGCTCGCTGACGTCGTCGTCGTCGCGCCGCCGCTTGGCGCCCGCGTCGCCGCCGCGCTCCGCACTGCGCTTCAGCGCCTCTTGCTTCACTGATCCTGTGTCATATCACTACATTGTATAAAACAAAGTCGCTTCCCGCTCCCCGTCTGTCCCTAAGTATCTTTAAAACTATGCAACGGATTCTGATGCGGTATTTTAATAGATAGAGTGAGTCAAGAGGAAGGTTTATATGTATAATACATGCATATTATAGAACAGAAAAGCTAAGAAATTCAAAGATTTCTATTTCGTACTATCCGTTAAAACGTACATAGGTACGAACCCGAGCGAAGCGAGGGTGAGTCGCTAGTTACGTATATTAGGGTGGAGCGAAAAAAAATATTTGTTTTTATTCTTAGCTTGGAGGTAGAATTTATAGCTTATAAAATAACAAAATTGTTGAAATAAAAAAAAATTTTTACTCAACATTTTGAGGTGGCCAGGTGGCCCACTGATTTTTAAAATAAATCATTAATTAAAATTTTTGGTTTGTATGAAACATTTCTTTTTCGCGTGACCATCTTTGAAAACATTCATAAATTGAAGAATATAGTCATTTCCTACTCAACTTTCAATGTAATACAAAAAAAGTAACATTATTTTTTCAACTTTTTTAAAATTGCAATAATGCGATTAGTCGAAAAAAAAACATTCAAACCAAAAATTTAAATTAATTATTTAAAAATTAGTGGACCACCTCAAAATGTTGAGTCAATATTTTTTTTAAATGTTCTTTTATAAGCAACTCATTCTAGCCCCAAGCTAAGAAAAAAAATTTTTTTTTCGCTCCACCCTAATGTATACAACTACCCGCGTAATTCAATTGTGTATTTATTTATATCTTTCATAAATATTGTACTGATGTATGATCTATATTACTGTCAAGTACAAAAGTATACTGACTTAAAAATCACTATTAATAATAAATATTCCGCCCTTGAAGCAATAGCTTGTTATTTAGCGCCTTAGGCCTATAAGATTGACCAAAATTTTTTTTCTAAGAAATAGCAATAAACTGTTCCATAAACATCCTAAATTCTTATATAATGACGCCGCGTAAGAATAAAAAGCAAATATTTACGAGTAAGAATAAGAGAGTTAATAAAAAATTGGCTGTCATGAAAATTATAATACATACAAAACAATGTTATAATAAAGTAAAATAGTAAAAAAACAGCACTTTAGATGTACGAATGTGGTACCAAATTTTTAATAAAGGCGTTTTATGGAATAATTTGGATGATGCGTAATGATTAGTGAATATGATGAATGATATTTTCAGCATTGACAGGTGATTTCCCTAGTGGCCGTTTTAGGAACTAGCGACAGCTGTTTACTATAAGCGTACTTAATAGTATCAGTACTAACTATTTTATTATCTGTATACATTGATCTGTAGTGTCCCTTTATAGGTCGAGGTTAGTTATGCGATTTGCTCGTAGGTAACCCACACATCACCAACATATACTGCCGTCATAATAAAGAAGGTAATAACTATTTGGTCAAAAATGCCTTAATACAGATTCAGTGTCAGCAAAAAAATACTACTGGATAGTTTTACTCATAAAGCTCTAAGTCTTATGAATCCGGAGATACCATAACAATTTTCAACGTAACTGCGTCATAACTACTACTGAGTACTAAGACAAAACTTCAAATATCTCGAAATCAACTTTAACGAAGTTGCGGCCTTCTTTTTTATGACAGCAGTATACTTATATTTTCAGGTACTCAATATTTATTTATAGGTCACCCAACAAAATCAAAAGTTTAAGATTAAGAAATAGAATTACAATGCTATTCAAATGATATGAGGACACCACGCACAAACACTATATTATAATTTGTGAATATACATATATATGTAGCATGTATATGGAAAAATGAATATTACGATAGATATTAATAGATTTGAATTTATGAATATGTAGCTTTAAAACCCTGCATTATCACAATTTCAGTTAACTTAATATAGTTCATACAAAACCTAATCTATATATCTGACTTAACTATTCAAATGGCTTCATCGTTTTGTTTCATATCAATTGGCATAGATAAGAAATCTATGTATAGAATAATAGATTTAAGAATATTTAGAAGAATATATATTTACTCTTATTTATTTGTCATTTCTATAAACATTTATATATCTTTAATTACCGGAGGACAAGGACACTGTTGTGAAGCCATCTTTACTTTCCCCAGTCGCAGTGACTCGCTCGAACTCGCCACGTCTACCCGCTTTAAAGAAAATCAAATAAAAATAAAATAAAATTGCCGTTATTTGAAATGAATTAGTAATTAATTAAAATGAAAAGAAAAGGCTTAAAATAAAAGTAAAAAAATAATAATTTTGATATTAATTATAAAATGATAATAATATGAAAGATGAAAACCATATGAAATGACATAGGAGGCAATGATACAAAAGTAACTCCCAACAGAAATTCCTATGAAACATCACCCGGACCCGAATTCCATACGAATGAGGGGCACTCACGTGTTTTATTGTCTATAATGGATTGCAGGTGCACGGGCGGTATTTGCTTGAACTCAGGGTCCCATATCGGGGAATTCGAACTAAATATTTCCTCTTCTAGCAGACCCAGGAATCGTGGGAAGTGGTTTAGAACTAGAATCTGAAAATAAAAAAAATAAAAAAAACGTGTGTGTACGTACGCACGTAAGAAGTTATACTTCTTTGACGTAACAGAACAAAAATAGCTGAAGAGTCCATCCCGTATGTCAAAACTCCCTGTTTATAAAAGAAATGCAGTTAACTTCATGTCGCCTTTTGGCTGTCGGAGTACGCGCGCATCGTAAAAATTGTACTCTCATATTTTTTTCCAAATGTGCCAAAAAAAGTTTAACTTCAACAAGATTCTAGTCCACGTTATGGAGGTTGTTTTATTAGTTGTTAACTTCCACCCTGACAGGAAATTTCTTTTTAATTTTTTTTAAGTTTTTGGTTCAATAATCTGTCCAAGTTTCTAAAGTATTTTTAAAACCATATAAATCCAGGATAAAAAGTATATGCATTTTCGGGATAAAAATTATAATAAAAAATATCCCACTTATGTTAGTGTATTGCCGGGTATTTCCTCTATATTATACCAGCTAGTGAAGGTCAAGTTACTATCAGCTGTCAACTTAGCCAAGTTGATAATTAGCTTGGAAAAAAGACAAAATTACATTTGTCTTTTTCTGGGATATTATTTATGTGTATCACTATCAATAGACATAGACCGAAATGTATAACGACAAATAAATATTTACATATAGAGGTTACAGATATCTTGTGATATTTTTCATTTATTTATATATATATTTATTATATATATATTTATTATAGAAAATACTCACTCTCTTTTCTGGTGGCATTCTATCTCTTTCAGAATGACACTTATCCATTAGCTGTCGACAAACTGATTTGAAAACAGCTCGTAATAAAGTTCTACCAAATACTACTGAAGTTTCGTAATGCGGTAGAGAGTCACAAAACGCTGGCACGTGGCAGAAAACTAGCCATCTGGAAATTAAAAATAATTTAAAATTAATACTTGGTCCTCTTTACCGAATTCGTTCAGCGGCTTTCACTGAGATCTAATTTTATTTTATTTATTTTATTGGCATTGCCCGCGGCTCCGCCCGCGTTCAGATGACCAAAAAAAAAAAATTTAGGTTAAAATTAGGTCAAAATTAGGTTTTACATATTAGTATACTCTTACATTGCATTTTTGTATTTTTTCTCAAAAATGAGATATTTTCTCGCTGTAAAAAGTATCCTATATGTTGACCCGGATAACCAGCTATCACCATACTAAATTTCATCAAAATCCCTCCAGTGGTTTTTCTGTGATGCGGTAACAGACAGACAGACAGACAGACAGACAAAAATTCTAAAAACTATAGATTCGGCCTCTGTATCGATAATAATGTTTATTCCAATATGATTTTCCAAAAAATATTTAATATTCGGCTTAGTTACAATCTTATTATATGCATAGATTAGAGAAAAAAACAGTACAATAGCGGAATGTATACGTTTTGAAATTGTCAATAGTTCGAGCCGGAAAAAAAGTTTTGTCAACGGATAGCTGTGCTCCGCCCTGATATGACGTAGTGTACGTATCGTTCCGCGATTGTATGAAGCACTATATAGGTACATCTATTCCTTCACCCTTTAAGCCCCGCGGGAAGACTCCGACACGACCAAAAAATTCTGGCTTAAGGCCTATTTATATCTCTAAATTCACAATTGTTACTAAGAATTTCTTGACGCAAAAATCTGTTTAACCTACCCTGATTTAAAACTAAATCTCATTGTTTTCAACAAAATGGGCTAGCTTAATATAGAATAACTTTTTAAATATTTATTCATAAATTATTATAAGCATAAAATTGATAAATATAGTAAAAACTGTTATTCTCATATGATGTGATACATACCTTGTGTAGTTAATTTGATATGCAGAAATATCCTCCGGGTTTGATATTTGCTGAAATAAAAATCATTTATTACCAACTGGATGATTGTTATGTCTGAACTCGGAATTCACATAACTCCATTAAAATAAAATTGTAAGACTGAACTTTTTACCTTTAAAAATGTATTTTAAATATAAGTATTGTTACAAACATTTAAAAATGTTATATAATGTCAACTATAGACCTGAAGACGAAAGGCTTTTCTTTAAGGTTTCGGTTACGTTCTTTAACCGGATAAAATCCGGAGAACGGTTTTTGACAAATTTAGGTTCCGTGATCGAAATTAACCAGTTAAAATGAGTTTTTGTGTGTTTACACAATATGGCGAATCTTTACTAATGGTGAATTGAGTAGTAGAAGGATACATAATTACGTTTCTTTCTTATAAATGAATTAACTAGACCAGGGTCGATATATCTTGAAACAAAAAAAAAATTAAAGTAGGATGAAAATCAATGGAAAAGGAAGATAATATAACAAAAATGAAAGAAAAACAATTTACGGGCTATTTGAGGTCGAGAAGTGGGAGGGGGTGAGTTTTTAAGGGTAAAAAACGGTTTATCTCGATTTCCGGCAAAACTATAAGCCTATTGGAAAAAAGTTAAATGGCAAAGTTGTAGGTAAGAAAAAGATCTACAACTTTTGCATTTGCACCTTTTATCCTAGTTCCTACTATTATTATTTTTTTCACTTTTTACCATTTTGAAAGGCTTCAGCCCTGGTCTAAGCCGGTTTATTTCGGTATCAAAACCTAAATCTAACCTTTCTATTTCGGTTTCCTGAACCGGTCGTTTACATTAACCGGTTAATGAACGAGTGATGGATTAACCATTACATTACCGAAATTAACAGTTTTTTTAAACCGGTTCCGAACTCTGCTTTAGAGAGATAGGATAATAATAAAAATAGTTAAAAATACATAATTATAATATTAATGTTTTGTAGATAAAATATAGCCTTACCAATTTCCTAACACTGGGTGTTTCAAAGTTCCAATGGTTAAAACAATGTAGAAACATTTTAGCTAGATCGTACATAGTCTGCCATTCTCTTTGAGGGAGTGAATTAAATTTGTATAGGACAAAGTTAGTTATTGCTTTTGCTATTGATGGTCGCTCAAAGGGAGGTTTGCCGAGGGGTCCTTCTATACTCGGTGAGGTGCGGGTTAATATGCATTTCCTTAGGAGCTGGAATTAATGAAAATGTATGTTCTTAACTAGATTTATTTAAAAAAAAAAAGATTTATTGAAGAAAAGTCAACTTAATGTTATAACTATACTCAGTATAGTTTGTAACTTTATAATAATTTTAGCTCTAGAATATTAGAGTCAGTTTGTCAGATGAGTCCAATTTCAAATGTTATATTTGAAATTGGATTGTTATATGTTTCATATGTTCTTTATTAGATTTATGCAGGTTTCAAAATAAAACTTACTTTAAACAAATAATAATAAACGCGTTTTGTGTCATGATCGTCTTCTCTATGCATGGACATGAATATATTTTCGACATCCACAACAGCTCCCAACAGTTTGTTTACTTCTGCAGCGGAGAGCCCTTCCAATTGTGTTACATGTTTTTCTGTAACAATATAAAGTAAGTTAAGCCATGGGATATTTCAAAAGTGAAACTTATTTAAAAATAACAAGTATGGATAGTTATAATACATTAACTATTATTTAATTTAAATGTGTAATACATATTGTTATATTTTTATATTTAGTGTTTAGGGGATGTTTGGAATGTATTGTATGTATGCATTCAGCCCTTCTTAACGTGCCACTGTTTGGCACGGGCCTCCCTTCAATCGGAGGGGGATTAGACCATAGTCCACCAAGCTGGCCAAGTGCGGATTGGCGACCTTTCATGTTAAATAAAAATATCAGAGGTGTGAGTCTCGGAAATTGAGCCTGCTTATAACTGCTTGCCATTGATTGTGTTATCAATAAGCTACCACTGCAGCGCTAACAGTTTGGGATGTAATTGAAAGCAAATAATTTAACAGCAAAAGTTTATAATTTTTGTACTCCTAATTGTGCTGTTAAAAATGCTGTTTGAGCTTGCTAATCTACGATATCATACATAGGGTATGTCAGTTACAATTAGTGGTTGCTAAAGTGAATTAGAAATGCAGTTAAAGTCTTTATCTAATATATATAATAATCTAAATTCCTAAAATATGACATATAAATAGATGAATTATTATATTTAATTTTCTACAGCTTATGCTATTAATATTATAAATGCGAAAGTTTGGATGGATGATGGATTGAGCAACAATGCTCAATTATGACAGAATGGATCTGAATGAAATTGGACATAGTATGGTCTGGAATAGTACATAGGTTACTTTTATCATGGAAAAATGTATGGCTCCTGTGGGATAGATTTGTTTTTGTTTTTCACTAGGGAAAAACGCCAGCGAAGCGAAAGTAAGTCACTAGTATCTGTAATGAAAATCAGTTTATTTACCTAATGTATGGTTACAATTTCTACATGGATCAGTGAAATTGGCTAGAGGTTGGCTCTCTGTGCGAGTATTTGTTTTGCCTGCTTGTTGAGTAGTTTTCCATCCATTGCATGTACATTCTGGAGTCTAAGCAAGGAAAAAAATAAATGATTATTAGTTAATTATTAATAGTTTAGTTTTGTGTATCTTACAAATTATACAGTATTTGTATCATGTGTGTTTACTTATTTACTTATACTTTTAACTTTTTTAGTCTATATCGTTTGCTAAAACACAACTTTAAAATAGGATAGCTATCAACAATAAAAACATATTCCTATTTATGGATAGTAAGATAGATGTGCCAGCAAACCCAATATGTGTTACATTAATTATATTATATGAGTAAAAGGTTTGGTTTAATTAAAAACTAGGTTTTATTCCATTTTATTACCTGACATGCTGAATAAATTGCTAGTTTCAATAGTTTCTTAATATGTGGCCAAGAATACACTTGTTGTTTTCTTTGTTGTATTCTCTGCAGATTAGATTGACGAGACTGGCCTTCAGTGCTTGCTGGGGTTGCTGCATTACTTGAAGATCCATCATCTACATTCGTGTTAGCTGCCGCTACAATTAAATGAATAATTTCAATACAAAATGAATTTTACAAACTAAAATTATACATAACATAGGAGAAATATATCAGTTATAATAATATTGTACTATATACATAAACTGCAATTTTACTATACTATTATCAAATTTGTTCTGTCTTGATTATTAAGTTTATAAATTGTTTATTTACCTTCGTAAGCTTGAGAAGAATCAGCTTCAACTTTAGGTGTCATTGCTATATCACCTATGTCATCGGTCAGTTGAGAAGACATACTATTTTGCTTCTAACTATTTTATTAAACTTAAACCATTAAAAACAAATCATTTTAAGGAATATTTAATCGTAAAATTGGCAAAACGCAATTGCAAAAGGACGCAAACTTGACAGTAAATGACACATTGATAGCGTTACAATAGTCTGCCAAAGTCAGTGTCAAAAAATTAGGCAAAGGTAACGCGGCAAGAGGTCTGATTTAATGTCATTTTAAAGATGGCATTTTTTGATTTATTTCTAAATAATAAAAATAAATTCTAAATAAGTATATTCTCATTAAAAAATCTAAGTATTTGAAAACAATTTTACCAGAGTATAGAAATTCATACAGTAGATCGCCTTTGATTTTAACGGAACAGCGGTCAAATGCTAAGGTTATTAAAAACATACTAATTTTCATAGCAAACGCTTCGGAGACCGGAGTTATAGCTCTACTCTGTTATGCCTATTAACCATAAGTCGTTTCTGTGCAATCTATTGTACCTGGAAGTTAGACCAGCTGAAGGAAGAATTGAGAAGGAGAGGTTCATCCTGCGGTGGTCCTGACTGACTGATGGATCAACATACAGCACAGCCTAAGCCGCTGGTCGTAGATACGTGAAATCTGGAGGACGTGTTCCTTATATTATGATGTACCTGCATCCGATAAGAAAGGATTTGTCGAAATTCATTATCTAAGTGGGTAAAATAGGGGATTAAAGATTGTCTGAAACTCTGTCATTCTTAATGTAAATTCACTAAAAGTGGTGTTTAGCTTTAAGATAAAAATAAAAGCTTTTTAATAAAAAAATAGAAACTGTTTTAAAAAAAAAGCACTAAAAAGTAAATCATTTACTATACATACCTAATCAAATATTTTCGAAGTCGGTGTGCTTTGCTTTGTACAGGCTGGCTGTGTTTTTTTATTTATCATTCGAAATTTGCCGCCCCTGAAAATATGCCGCCCTGGGCATTAGCCCCGAGTGCCCCTAGTGTAAATCCAGCTCTGCTAGGACCAATAAAGTAAAACTGCGAATGCTTAATACTTGTAAATTGCTAAAGCTTGTTCCCAAAACAGTCAACGGATAAAACTATTCATTGCCAATATCTACTTATATTATAATGGTTTTACTTTCGATTAAATTATCTGAATAGAATATCTAATATAGTCATTAATTAATTATGAAATAAGATTACACAGTCGTATCCCATTGTTGACGCTTGCTTTAGTGTGAAATGGGTGTAAAATGACGAGTAGGTACACTTAACTGAGATTTTTACGCACAAACCATATTTTATATAATTATCACTAGCTAACACGGAGAATATCACTTCAGTGACGGACGGACGTCTCTCACCAGACAGACGTCTAGGTTTACTTTTATGTGATACATATTACATATATATGTTATTATGTATTCATGAACACAGGCACCATAATAGGTTAAAGGAAAATAAATAGCAATTTGAACACTTATAGAAGTATTTTATTCACATCACATATTTTTTTGACAAAAGTATTTAGTAATACAATTTTTTTTATTAATTTAATAAATATATTATTTAAAAAAAAGTTCACTTTTATTTACAGGGTACCTATAAATCCTATTGATAAGTTGGCTGTTCCACGATAAAGTTATATACACATTTAAGATCGTAATGTATACATATGTATTATAGCATTACTGTGGCATTGCTAGTTGAAATAGCACAAAAATATATTCAATAAGGATAATTAAAACTTGCTACGTCCCTTATAAAAGAGCACCTTAAATGCTAAAGTAACATAATTATTATAAGTTTTACGTCCCATTTAAAACTTCTTTTATGCTTAAAAATTATTTACATATTTTTAATAAGATCCTATAAGTATTTTAAAGTTATAAACGTCTTAAATATTTTCAAACTACTTTTTATCTTAAGAACAAAGTTAAGTAATTGATATATAATCTTATTATACATATAGTTCTGAGTCGAATCTGTACATTAAATATTTTTTGGAAAATCTTATTGAAATAGTCATTATTATCGATACAAAGTCCGAATTTATAGTTTTTAGAATGTTTGTCTGTCTGTATGTCTGTCTATCTATCTGAAGTCTGGTTTTACTGCGAGAAAATATCTCATCTCTGAGAAATATATACTAAACGTCAAAACGTAACTAGGGATGAACCCGAGTGGAGCGCGGGTGACTGGTCAACGAGAAAATCTTCGTATTGAAATAGAGCAAAAAGATTATACATTACTAAAAAAAATATTATTAAATAAGTGACGACTATTTTTTCCACTAATATGTACATAGAATTTAGACACATTTTATTACTAAAACTTTTTTAATATAAAATACTTTACGTTTACTTCCAAATGGAATAAATACTGTACTTCTTAGTTATAAAAAATCGAAATAGTTACATATAGCAAATATTTTCTTACTATGTATCTCTGCATATGAATGAGCCACTTTCCACGGGATTTACTAGGAGATAGAAACAATTTCAATATGTCACTTCTTTTTCTCCGAAATGTTTTATCTATACATAATATAATAAAATTGTAACTAAGCCGAATCTGTACATTAAATATTTTTTGGAAAATCTTATTGAAATAAACATTATTATCGATACCACACATCACATAATACTAAACTAGTCGATACAGAGGCCGAATCTATAGTTTTTAGAATTTTTGTCTGTCTGTCTGTCTGTTACCGCATCACGGAAAAACCACTGGAGGGATTTTGATGAAATTTGATTTGGTGGTAGCTGGTTGGTCAACATATAGGATACTTTTTACCGCGGGAAAATGTCTCATTTCTGAGAAAAAATACAAAAACTGCAATGTAAGAGTATACTAATATTATGTAAAAACTAAGAATTTAATTTTTCTTCATCTGAACACGGCCGAAGCCGCGGGCAATGCTACTATTAGATATATGTACACATATTCGCGAAGACGCAGGTAGAGACTAGTATTTACTAATTAGCTGAATATATTAATAAAATTAGCCGACTACATATTTTCAATTGCTTATAATATTTTCCTGCTTTAGATTATCTATATAATTAGTATTATCTCCGTTAGGATAATAGAAAATTGTGTTTTCATCAATTTTAGTTTCGATGGAAAATGGTGAATCGTCTTTGACAAAGTCTACTTTGCGGGGTGGTATATTCTCCTTGTAGGAGTTGGTACGTGGTCTAACGTATGTGGACATAGTTGTTTCTCGTCGAATGTCGAAGCGCTGGCGCTCTGTATGTCTGCACAAAAGGGTCTCGTGGAACGCCATTCTATATCTGTGAAAGAAAATTACAATTTAAAATGGTTCTTTATGCTTTACATATTGTATGGTATTTTACTCATATATTGAATATAAATAAAATGACAATTCAAGAGTTACAGAGATAATAATTGAGAAGTCAGAGTGAATAGTGTTCTGTGCGTGTGTTGCATATCAACGTTGAGGAACCATTAAAGCGAGTGCCGTTATATATTTACATATATTTAATAAACCTATTATATACGTTTGTATTATAATCCGATATTAAAGTTTTAGTGCCTTTCAAAAGAATACACTCTTATAGAATTACTCGTGTGTCCGTTTGTCATGCCTTATTTTTCCGACTTTTCTATTACTAGTTTTGATAGTTAAAATTTTGTACAGATGGAAGTTATAAATTAACGAATTAATTGGGAGCATTAATAGAACATCAATCAAAAGATGTTTCATCATCCATACGATTTATCGAATAAGAAGGGTCTTTGGGAGAATTAATGATATAATTTTTATACTATTAAAATGCATTAGATTTTAAGAAAAAAAAAATCTAAAATGGACATTCAGGAAGAGCTACAACTTAGCCCTAAAATTTTGATAAAAGAAACACAAAATATAGGGCTGAGCACATATTTTACAGGAATAATATTAAAGAAAGCCTTTGTTCAAGAAAGTCCGGAGTTATAAATATTTTTTTGAAAAATAACATTTTATTTCAGAAACGCAATAAAAAACCGAACAAGTGCGAGTCGCAGTCCCTTTCAGTCTTCCGTGAGTAGTTAGTTTGTACCGGTTCTGGCTCGTGAGCCAGAACCCGTGAGCCAGAACCGGTGCAATCTGGCAAACTTACTCTCGGTACTGACGGGCTAACTCACGGACGATTCTGTTTTGCAACGGTCGATTCTCGAGTTACGGATCCTACAAAAAAAAAAAAAAAAAAAAAAAAAAAAAAAAAAAAAAAAAAAAAAAAAAAAAAAAAAAAAAAAAAAAAAAAAGGTTTTGGCATGCTCTGATCACGAATCTGCGATCCATTTTTGCGTACGATGCGCGGTTCTGGAGATGTGGAAATCAATTAGGAAATATCTGATTGATATCCGGTGGCCTCGCACCCTCATTAGCGCTCCGTTGCTCTCCTTATCTATTGTTCCGAAGATAACGCGCTAACAAGGGATGGGTCATAAATTTTCGTGTGCTTAGGAATTTGCTTTAGGTAAGAAATAACTATTTATAATATATGATTTTATAATATTTGATTTGATTGTATACTTCTATTGGTCATCAACTACCATGCTACTCTAAATCATAAGTAAAACACACTCATCTAACAATTTTTATTTATTCATTTCATAATTTTATTACATATCTATACACATACATAACATTGAAGTGTCTTTTTCATTTCAAATTCTCAGTTTTTAATTAAACACATATCAAAGTATATAACATACTAACATCAAAAAAACAGTTTTTACAATTTTTGTCTGTATGTCTTTCACTGATAGATACCTAAGGTTCTATGGAGTAACTATTTAAATTAACCTAAAATTATAAAACCCGTTTAATTTCTTTTAACTTACGCCCAGCGAAGTGGGCCTGGTTTGCTAGTTCTCTATAAAATATGAGCGGAACATCTCATCCACTAAAATATCGTTGTACAATGTGTTCCCTGTAAATATGTTCGTAAAACTATACATTGAATATCCCTGAAACTTATATTGCAAATACATTAAGCAATATTCACCACATACTGAAGTCCAATCATTCTGAATCCTATTAATATTCCAGACCCATCTTTTACAATTCCTTTTTAAAAACTCTAGATGATATCGTGTAGGTGTTCGTCCATATGAATCAAAATATTCACCTATGCTATTCGTATCGATATGTAAAGCTACCCAGTGTGAGCCTGGTTTATCATCTGTATCCAAATTGCATATTATACACGTTGGTACATGAGTATACATGGGTAGTCTATTAGCAGCATAAACATTATTTTCTAGACTAGGATGAATCTTTTTCATATGTCGCTGAACATCTAGTGTATCCATGATATTACTGCTATTGGTACATTTATACAGTACCAATCTATTCAATGGATAACCTAGGAATGTTCAATTATAGTGCTTTTTAATTATTAAATCGCATTCTTTTGTGATGAGTCATGGAACTGGTTTATCATTCGTATCCAAATTGCATATTATACACGTTGGTACATGAATATACATGGGTAGTCTATTAGCAACATAAACATTAACTGTGCAGCGCATCACGAAGGGATGTGAGATAACGCGCCACGAGGGGATGTGAGATAACGCGTCACGAAGGGATGGGTCATAAATTTTCGTGTGCTTAGGAATTTGCTTTAGATAAGAAATAACTATATAAGGTCGAACAACTGCCGGCATGCAATCAGTCTATGGTCGCTCGACCGCAGTGAATTGCATATAGTCTACCAATACTACACGTGTGTTACTTCAACTCATCAATACCCATGGAGGTAAGTGTTTATATTCTATTAACAAACTTTCTTTTCTTTCTGTTTCCTAACGTGTGTGTGTGGTGTTTCATAAGCGTAAATAAATTGATATTAACATGATAACTGTGTTGTTGCAGAAATCATTCAACTTCGATGAAAATACATATAAACAGTATTACTACTCGTCACTCTCCCCTCAATGCGAAGAACAGAGTGATGACATCGTGATTAATAACACACGTGATGGTGTAAAAAGGAAATCGCCGGCGCTTGATCAGTTTTTTTGAAGTGGCGTCAAAAATAAAAAAAAATGTATAAAGTTTGTGATGAAATAGAGAAACGTGAACTGTTCGATTCATCATATGATGAAGAATTGTATAATCACTGTGCGATGGTTGAAACCCTGCTCAAGTAAGTAAAATAAACATAAATTTCAACTATAATTTACACATTGTTTAACATTTTTTTAATAAAATAAAACATTTTAACAGTCAACCACTACAACTTGGTAGAGGAATGAAGCGAACGAGTAGTGAAGACCCCCAGATCGTTAAGAAACCAAGAACTGAAGAAGAAGCGTCTACCTCTGTAGGGACCAGTGTCGGTAACGATGATCAAGTTGAATGTTTAACGTGTCATATATTGATCAAGAAAAGGTATTTAACTAATCATTTTAAAAGTAATGTTCACAAAAATAATCTTTTAAATGCACATAATTCTTTATCAAACGTAAGTGTTATTGAATCTGCTTTTGGAAACAGAATTTTATGTTATAAAATCAAGAGTAGAGTAGATCGTTTACAACCGTTAAATTTTGAAACTCCCGAACTATTTTTTAATTCTATTAAAGATGATATTTTATTTTTAATACAGGAGTGTATTCATCAACACACAATTTTTAAAGTAAATTTCATACTACATGCTGATTTTGTTCAGCAAACTAAAGATATTCATGAAACGTTCGATTTTCAAACATTTAACTATATTATTTGCACCGGAGATGACTTAAATATTTTTCTTTCATCTTTAAATGATACAATTACTAGTAAAATTAGTGCATTCGAAAAAAAAGATAGTGGATGGAGTCTAAAAAACATAAAATCTATAGACATGAATGTCAATAAATTCAACCCCCTTCGCGGTACTTCATACATAGATCTTCCTCATGATATAAAATTAAAAAAGGCTGTTTTAAATGTAAAAAACAAAGATTATTTTTGTTTTAAATGGGCGTTACTCTCAGCATTATATCCTATAAACAAAAACGCAGATCGGGTATCATCGTACGCTATACATGCAAATAAACTTAAATTTGACCTTACCTCCATGGGTATTGATGAGTTGAAGTAACACACGTGTAGTATTGGTAGACTATATGCAATTCACTGCGGTCGAGCGACCATAGACTGATTGCATGCCGGCAGTTGTTCGACCTTATATAGTTATTTCTTATCTAAAGCAAATTCCTAAGCACACGAAAATTTATGACCCATCCCTTCGTGACGCGTTATCTCACATCCCCTCGTGGCGCGTTATCTCACATCCCTTCGTGATGTGCTGCACAGTTAATGTTTATGTTGCTAATAGACTACCCATGTATATTCATGTACCAACGTGTATAATATGCAATTTGGATACGAATGATAAACCAGTTCCATGACTCATCACAAAAGAATGCGATTTAATAATTAAAAAGCACTATAATTGAACATTCCTAGGTTATCCATTGAATAGATTGGTACTGTATAAATGTACCAATAGCAGTAATATCATGGATACACTAGATGTTCAGCGACATATGAAAAAGATTCATCCTAGTCTAGAAAATAATGTTTATGCTGCTAATAGACTACCCATGTATACTCATGTACCAACGTGTATAATATGCAATTTGGATACAGATGATAAACCAGGCTCACACTGGGTAGCTTTACATATCGATACGAATAGCATAGGTGAATATTTTGATTCATATGGACGAACACCTACACGATATCATCTAGAGTTTTTAAAAAGGAATTGTAAAAGATGGGTCTGGAATATTAATAGGATTCAGAATGATTGGACTTCAGTATGTGGTGAATATTGCTTAATGTATTTGCAATATAAGTTTCAGGGATATTCAATGTATAGTTTTACGAACATATTTACAGGGAACACATTGTACAACGATATTTTAGTGGATGAGATGTTCCGCTCATATTTTATAGAGAACTAGCAAACCAGGCCCACTTCGCTGGGCGTAAGTTAAAAGAAATTAAACGGGTTTTATAATTTTAGGTTAATTTAAATAGTTACTCCATAGAACCTTAGGTATCTATCAGTGAAAGACATACAGACAAAAATTGTAAAAACTGTTTTTTTTGATGTTAGTATGTTATATACTTTGATATGTGTTTAATTAAAAACTGAGAATTTGAAATGAAAAACAGACACTTCAATGTTATGTATGTGTATAGATATGTAATAAAATTATGAAATGAATAAATAAAAATTGTTAGATGAGTGTGTTTTACTTATGATTTAGAGTAGCATGGTAGTTGATGACCAATAGAAGTATACAATCAAATCAAATATTATAAAATCATATATTATAAATAGTTATTTCTTACCTAAAGCAAATTCCTAAGCACACGAAAATTTATGACCCATCCCTTGTTAGCGCGTTATCTTCGGAACAATAGATAAGGAGAGCAACGGAGCGCTAATGAGGGTGCGAGGCCACCGGATATCAATCAGATATTTCCTAATTGATTTCCACATCTCCAGAACCGCGCATCGTACGCAAAAATGGATCGCAGATTCGTGATCAGAGCATGCCAAAACCTTTTTTTTTTTTTTTTTTTTAGGATCCGTAACTCGAGAATCGACCGTTGCAAAACAGAATCGTCCGTGAGTTAGCCCGTCAGTACCGAGAGTAAGTTTGCCAGATTGCACCGGTTCTGGCTCACGGGTTCTGGCTCACGAGCCAGAACCGGTACAAACTAACTACTTCCGTGTACAAGAGTAATATAAACATTACTTAATCTATATTCTGTCAAGTACTCTTTAATCAAGTTGATCTTATTTCTAACAATCTATTTTCATGATTTTCCCTAAATTATAAATAAATAAGAAGAAAAACAAAACAATTTTCTTCACCAAAGTTCACAAGCCACGACCTATAAATAAAGTTTAAGCTCAGGAAAAGCAAGGCGGAAAAAGCTTTATATTTGAATCGAGTTGTTTGAATTTAACGGAAGTACTGTTTGACCCGATTTAGATGTCTAACTGCGTTCCCGACCCGTGCTTGATTCAATCGTAGTTTGTAGGTTACTTTGATTTTCTGTTTATATTCCGCGTCAAAATATGCCATCTATTTTAGCAGCTTTACAAGGCATCTATAGTACCTATTTGAAATGAAAATATTAACACTGCATAGTTTATTTCCCGAGAGTTTATATTGCATTCGACTATCAACGCAAAGGTATGTACATGAAACGCCTTTGAAGCGGGCGTAAAAACAGATACAGAACCGAAGGTGAGGTATACGGCGTAAGCTACTACTAGCAAGGTAACGCGATTTTTCTCACTCTCGGTATATCATGACGTATGTATAGCCTATAGATGTATTTTAAATAAGATATTTTTAATTTTCTTTTAATGACAACTATTTACGTTTAGTTCATTAGGATAAAATTAATAATATATTCAGACATAGCCAAATAAACTCTATTATATAAATTACAATTTTCTTGGAGATTCTTAATAAATTTTACTGTAAGCTATAAATTAATATTACTATAGGGTGTAAATACTAATTATTGTATAAACAATATATGAATAACCATTTCTTCAGCCAAAGATATGTTAGTAAGAACTTACCGAGCACTCATTACATTGTAAAGAATCGGGTTGACAGTCGCAGACACGTAGTATAATGCTCCAGCCACGTTGAACAGGTGTTCGTTGATCACATGAAATTGTGGGTGGTCGTAGCCGTATATGAAGAATAATCTTTGGACGTGGAATGGCGTCCAGCACACGAAGAACGCTGTTACTACTGCGACTGATAAAAGATAACCACATATGATTAAACTTCATAATTATATAATAATAATAAAGTTGTATTTGCTAAATATAAATTGTTAATCTAATTATTCATAAAAGAGTTATTAAAATTAGATATTAAAATCAGGCAAACCGTTTTTTACGTGATACCATAGATAAAAAAATCAAAGGTTTTTCTTCCTTTGTTTTTTTATACAATATAGCTAAAAATGCTAAAATATTTAAATGTATGTTGGTTTCTCCTAAACGCTGTAACTGGTGGACGGATTTGGATGAAATTTAATTCTATTAAGCGTGTGGCTAGACATACGCTATTGTTAGGCACTAATAATTAATTCTATACTTATGAATAAAAATAATGGCTAAATATTTAAAAGGTTATATTTATAAAATGGAGTCAAATAGATATAACATCTATTATATTTTAACCGAATATGACGAATGATATATTATACACATTAATGAAGAATTATTTTGATCAAAGCTTTTCCATTCCCACGCAACAAGAAACATTATTAGACACCTACTTCGCTATAAACAAAACAATCATCAGGGCAGGGTCGTTTTACAAAAACCTTACAACTAGGTATCTAATGTTAACTCAGTCCATTAACAAACACTTTGAAATATTGAAGATGAATGGAGTATACGTAGTAATTTAATTTTGAAATTAAGTTCGTCTTCATTACGGTATATGTATAGTGTATACTTCAATACAGAATATTTCGAATTAATAAGTTTTGTTTAGGACGGAAAGTGCTCTATTTGAACAAGCACTTCTATGTGAAATGAAAATTGTGAGAATGACGAGATGGTAATAAAATATAATAATAGAAAATATAGTAATAGAAATATTATTTAAAGTAGCAACAATTTGTGGCTTCGCTGTCATAAGCCAGTCAGCTATTTGATATTTTGAGATAATAGGCTTCAAAGACACAAAGGCGACGAGTCCTTTTGTTGTTTCCGTTTTGTGTCGGTTGTATAAAATTCCCTAATAGGATGCGGGTACGCTTAAAAACCATCAAGAAAATAACATTGAAATAACTAAGCTAAACAATTGTCATTAAATATAGCGATAAATATATGAATGTTTCCCAAAAAGTTGACGTAATGGAGCTTAATTTTGTCCTTAAAATTTCTTACGAATATTAGGAATATTTTGTATTTTAAACAAAATAAATAATGTAAAATATCTTAATTAGATTTTCAATTAACAGGCTAGTCTCTTAACTAAACAGCGCCGTTCAACTAGCGGCCTAAATGATATTCAGCCATCAATCAAACAGCTAGGCAAATAACTTGAATCGATAACGTTTAACTACTTGCCAACTTTTCATTTATAAACACGGTTACCCTGGTCAATGAACGGCCTAAGCATCTGCCAGTCCGTTCATTAAATGTTGCATTAGACGCTACGACTGGATATCATTCAGGTAGCTAGTGGAATGGCGCCGTTTAGTTAAGAGTTAAGAGACTAGGCTGTTAATAGAATGGTTAATTAAGCTAATTGGCTGCGACACATATATAAATTTTCTCATGTACTTGAAAGAAAGTATTTATGGCAAAATCGACAACTGTTTTATTGGTAAACAGTAAATCACGCTACTTTTTGACATTTATTTTGGCTGACTCCCTCTATATAATTCTTTAGTCTGAGGCTGATCACTTATAAAAAGCATATTTTGTTGGTTATATTGCCATAAAGTTTGCTCATTGCTCACATAATATGTACTACTGGGCCACCGAGCTTCGCTCGAAGTTTATGGTCAAAAGTACAATTTTCTTTTTAAAAAAAACTAAAAACTTAATAAAACAAAATAAAAATTTGAATAAATACAAAAAAACAACAGTAAAAACTTTGTATCAGACCGGGATACAAACCCAGACACCTGTGGTTGTCAAACTTGCTCGTTTAAATATATTAGATATATCTACATAGGTACATATGTACATAGTAAGTATAAAGATATGAAATTGGTGTGAACAGATGGTTACGTCGTGTACGAATCAAATCTAGGACGTCCTTAGAAAGTAATACCCGTCAGGTGCTCCATTTTTATTTATTATGGTTACTGTACCTATTTTAAACTTAAATCTTATTAAAATTCCAAAAGCAGCGAGTTGTGTTCTTCAGACTCATTACCTTTGCACAGTCAATGGCTGCAATACAAACAGCGGAACAGTGTCGCGGTATAATAGGAATTAAATTAAGAAGCTTTAAGTTTTACAAGGAATTGTACTTGAATTGAATGTTAAGTATTTTATTCTGTATAGTTAGTATAAAATATCTGTAAATATACATCTATATAACTTAATCTTGTGAAAAAAAAATTGTTTTTCTGTAAAGTCGGTTTTCGGACTATAATTTTACGTCTTAAGAAAACATTGATAAAAAATTGTATACTTTTATGAATTGAATTGAATTATTATCACTGAATTATCATTATTTTGTATAATACAAAGAAGGAGTTAATTGAAAATTACATTTTTTTCGATAAATCCTTCCCTTCCCTTCCCAAGGAGGGTTGACGTCAGGCAGGCGGCACGGTCGTAAAACTTTTGCCAAATTCTATCAGCAGTACAGAAGATGTACTGCGCCGACCCCAAGTTATTGGGAAATGGGCAGGAAGAAGAAGATGAAGTTAGGCCGATCGTGCCTCTCTATCGCTTGTTCCGCGGTCTCGCTCGCACGTTCGGCTCGGGTGGAACGTGACACTTTTTGGTGCGTGCAGCCGACGTTCATCGATATATAAGACGTTATCACGTCAATAATATCTATAGACCAACTGTCATTTCAAAATAACTAATACTAACCTAACGCTTACCTCATATTTTGTTAGCATTGTTGTTTCCAAAGCTTAAAAACCTTTTTAATACTAACATTTTTATCCCATTCTCTCTGTTTCTTCCTGTTATTTACCATTTGAATGCTTTTCCATGCCCATTTTCTCCCCCTTAAGGGATGATTTCCGGGATAAAAAGTATCCTATGTATTTTACAGGGTCTCAAACTATGTTTTTACCAAATTTCATCTAAATAGATTCAGTAGATACAGAAATTACCCCCTAAACCTCACAAACTCACAAACTTTACCTCTTTATAATATTAGTATAGATGTTAAATATTCATGTGAATCTAAGAAAGACTTTATAATAGAAGTCTAACTTTTTTTAAAGAAGTTTTTATACTGGAAGAATTCAGAGAGTACTTATAGCCAAACCAGTGTAACCTGTGAGAATAAAAAAAAACTATCAAACATACCCAACATTCGTATTACTGCTTTTCTGGACTTAGTTTGTCGAGATTCTCCGTGCACGTCATCTTTAAATAATCCTTGTTTAGATTTTGCGCTTACTCGAGTTGACCTGTGAAAAATAATAAGCAGTAAGTGCGTGTTGATAGAATAAAAGGAATAAATATTATTACGTGTAAGATTTTCGTGGAGGTTTAAAAATTAAATAGTTTTATTGCCGGAAATGTCGTCTATTATCTAAGGTATTCTGTTTTAAATAATAAATTCGAAAGAGTCAAAGACTGTATGTTTGCAATATTTTCATAGTGGAGAATAGTGTTTGAAAAGCACGAAGTGAAATAACATGACAAAACATGAAAAAATATTTTATTGAGCAAACCGTATTGTACTGTTCAAGAGTTTCTTGTTGATGAATATGTGTGGAATTGAGTGATATTGACTCATATTCAGACTATCTATATAAATTTATGTTAATAAAATAAATGTAACCTCGTGCTGTCATATTGGAAAAATGATACCGAAAACCAAGTTTCAAGAATATCTTCTTTCCAGCGTCATCTAGGTTATAAATGGTCATTACAAAAATTTTAGAGCATGAAATGTTCTGTATCTTTGCAGGACATATTTTTGAACAGATAAAATAGCTTAGGAGTTACAGCAAATTTTAAAACTTTGCCAAATTAGAACTTTCCTTGACTTAAGTTAGAACCTGCCCAGTGATTGGACTAATAGTGTTTTAATACGGAATGCTTAAAACAAAGTTTATTAAACAAATAAGAATTCTTCATTAAAAAAAAAACTATTAATTTATTATAAACATACCTGATATGTATACCCATTGTGATGTACAAGCATAGTATAAGAATAGCCGGGACGAAGAAAAAGAAGACGCTGCTAATTTCTAGCAGTGGAGAGGATGCCATCAGGGTGCAGAAAGCCGAATTCAGAGACAAATTACCGGAATCTATAAGAAATATGATTATAATACATAGGTATATTTTTTATATATTATGGCTAGTCTTACTTCTTATTTATCTAACTTATCTATCCCACGGGATCCGTACACTTTACCGGGATAAACAGTAGCCTATGTGCTATTGCAAACTATAATCTATCCCTGTGCCCAGTTTCCTCTAGATCCGTTCAACCATTCTGGCGTGAAAGAGAAACAAACATCGATCCATTCATTCCCACAAACTTTCGCATTTATAATTTTAAGTATTCATTAGTATGAATGTTCATTTCGACACAATTTACTTCGCCAATGTCACGTAGAAAGAATGGAGAGGACGATGAAGATTGATCGATATGAAGATAGAGCACCGAAATTTTAAAGCGTTTTGTTGAAACTCTGGACCTACAGCACATAAGGCACCGCAATAACCATATATGTATATAAATATGCGTAATATACAGTTTCGATAAAATAAAAAAAATATCTACTTATCTATACAGATAAATAAAATTGAAGTGTCTGTTTGTAATGTCAAAATAATAGCTTTTCTTTTGTAAAAGGGTCGCCGATTTTATTATTTTGCTTACTTTACTTAGTTAAATCTGAATCAGTTAATAAATTGTTTAGTGCCCATAATACTTTCTTAGATTTAAACGAATACTTGACATTTTAAATAAAACAATCTTTTCGGTTTTTTTTCGCGAATTTATTTTGATTTTTGGTTCCCGACGTTTCGAATGCTTTACAGCAATCATGGTTACGGGAGAGACTGAGGTGTTACATGTCTCTAAGGTATTATAAAGTTGTTACAGACAGCCTACCCACAATTAACAAAATGAATTCAAAAAATTGAAAAATGGCACTAAAGTACCTTAAAATATTTTATCTTTAAACATTTTTATAAGTTTAATTAGTAACTAATTAAAATAGTTTTATTTAAAATTGTTTAGTTCTCCTAAGCTTTCAGTATTTTTATGAAAAAAAAGTTAATTAACGATAGTCTAGTCTGGTTTATATTCAGAAGTAAAGAAATTGTAATTTTCTAAAGATTTTCTTAACAATTAAATAAATGGTAAGAGAGGTTTTGAGCTCTTACTTTTTATATTAATTAAACCCTAATCACGATAAAGGATAATTATTAATGTTTTAATTTATTCTTTAGTTTCGACTTTCGTGTATATAAATAAAATTAATTTACATTGTTATTAATTGCTCAAAATTTTGAAAGTTCTATAGTCAAAAGCTTTTGCTTTGAAGCTTTGAACTTTGGTAGATGTCGCATCCATATATCCTGAGGGATGAGAAGAAACTTTGACTGTACAGCTCTATGTCTACACGAGTGTTTATCTATAGATAGTTACTTAAAAATTAAAATAAAAACTTTTTAATAAAAATAAAAACCGGCTTCCAGGCACTAAAATGTAAAAAATAACTAAACGGAGGTTTTCATTTAGAATAGATACCTAATCAGATATTTTCGAAGTCGGTGCCAGCCGATGCAAAGCAAATCTAATATATTTCGATACGTAAAATACACACATAATATATACCTATTAGATATTCATATCTTAAAATATTGTAGGCTAGCACCGACTCGTTAACGATGATCATTTTTATTCCAATTGATTGCATATCGTTTAACTTTAAGGAAATTCTAATTTTGGAAAAAAATAATAACTACTATGTGTATTTAGCCCCTTTTTTAACGTCCTACTGCTAGGCAAGGGCCTCTCATACAGGGATACGAGGGAGATCGATGTGTATTCAGAATATTATTTTGAGTACCTCTTCGTATACAGTTTTATATTCTGTTCCCTGCAAGATACTAAGGAGTGCCTACATAGGAGATAGAGATGAACTATTTATTCCTTAAAAGTTTTTATTCTGTATAGAATCGAACCCAAAAAATTTTGCTACAGTAGGCAATTCCAGTTAGCAGTTTATCCATACTTAATATTATAAATGTGAACGTGTGTTTGTTTGTTTGTTTGTTTGTCCTTCTTTCACGTCGAAACGGAGTGACAGATTCGCGTGATTTTTTGTGTGGAAATAGTTGGGAGTGCTGGAGAGTGACATAGGCTACTTCTTACCGCGGGAGGTTATCTAATTCCCACGGGAAAACACGTTGTAGTACAATCCAAAAAAATATATGATCAGAATTACTTGAAACTTGGTATTCATAATCTTCAATAAAAATAAATAAATACGTGTTTTAGCATTTTTCGAAATTTATTATATAAGGGGGTAAAATACGTGATGAAAGTTTGTATGAAACTACCATTTTAGAGATTTTTTTGCAGTTTTAGCGCGAGCGAAGCCGCGGGTGCTGCTAGTATTTATTATATAACAAAATCTTTTATAAAATACATATATATTTGGAAATGTAAAATAATATGGTATCAGTTTATGTGCGATATACAGTGGATTAAATGAATGAGCAAGTCATAGTGATGTTCTCATCTTAACAATAAACATATTTCTGCCAGCATCGAACTAAAACATATCCTCGTCACCTTTGATAGAAGTTATGACACGCGAACTAATTTAACGAGAGCAAATTCCAATACTGAAAAGCATGTTGAAATCTTGCCAAGTTGAGTTCATCACATTTACATACGCTTGGCCAGATACAATAGACACGATAATATTGCAATAGACTAACTACTTGTTACAGAAATAAAATAAAAGATTCATATTTTTTCAGAATAAATAAGCAATCTTATCTAGAATTTTATGACCTAGAAAATTAATAAGTATTAGCCAAATAGATGAGGCTAATGTTGAAAAGCTGGTGACAAATTCATATAAACAAAGTGGGTCTTATATTTCTGGCATCTTTAAGATATTAAATGATATACGTTAGGATTGGTTTCAAAGTGCCAAAAGCATTCTTTTTTATTTTCTTTTTTTCCTTTTTCATTTATTAAACCGGTATAATAATAATTTAGTGACCAAATAACCTCTAAAGTCTCGATTTCGAACTTCTGATTCACTAAAATTATATTAACAATGTATATATATATATTTCGTCTTCAGAGCTATCTGGCTATGATTATTATAACCTACACTCTCATATTTACCAGTTCGATGCCAGACAAGCTCATGTTGACACAAAAATGTTGTTTAATATGCACTTTGTTTGCAATTTGCGAATTTTGCAAGTGGACAATTACGTGTCAAAATCAGTTTTTATTGGCGTTAAATTAAAGAAAATAATAAACAGCTTAATCAGAGGAAAGTAAGGATAGCCACGAGGAAAGCAAACAATACGCATCTCTAGAAGATAAATTAAACGATAACTCGTAATCTTATACTTAAATAATCATTCAAAGAACACGTGCACAAACAGAACACTAAATCAAGAACAACCCATGAGCATTTATCGATGTAAGTAAATGTTGGCGCTCCCATCAATAAAACGCTTAAATACGAATTCTTAGGTACATTTCCGTATTTAGTTCCATACAAACAAAAGTAACGTGGAAGTTTTCATCAGATGTCAATGATATTATGGACTAAGATCCGGCTGCAAGATTGCTACGTTCATAGCGTATTTAATCAAAATCAATTTTTTATATACAATAATAAACGGGACCATACGTTTTGACCGGGGTGCCTGTTAAAATGTGCCCGTTAGTATGCTTAATGAAATAAATAATAATTGAATTTTTGGAACAAAAACGATGCATTTGTTATTACAATAAATTATACTCCACTTCACAGAAATATACGTAGAGATCATGAAAAGTGATAACTGTCGTTACGTTACGCTATGAACGTAGCAATCTTGCAGCCGGATCTCGATCTATTAGTAATCTTATTTACTTATAAGTAGGCTTTTTATATGAGGAAAAAACCTACCTACTTAAACGTAAATTAGTTTTAATACTGTTGCATCCCTATGTGACTATGTCTATATATAAATGCGATAAACTTCAAATTTTTATTTTATAACAGAAGTTCTCAGAATGGACGATGGAGATAATAAAGTAAATATAGGTAATTAATTCCTTCAAAAAACTAATGAAAATTGGTGAAAACCTTATGAAATCCGTATACTTTGAGATTAGAAAGGGATTATAATTTATTTATTTATTTATTAAAGTATAAATGTAAATATGGTATTAGAACTGAATTGAATTTAAAAAAAAGTTTTTTTCAAAATGAGAAATAAGCCCTTTTGAAAAGTCACTCCTCAATTATTCTAGTTGAAATAAATATACAATAATGTAAATTGAACCTTAAAAGCAATGCTTAAAGTTGTTTTCACAAACATTTTTTTTAAATTAAAAGTGCCCTCAAATATTCAAATGAGCGCTCATTCGGTGAGGATATTTTTTGTCTTAATAAATTAAATTATTTATTATATATCCTATCTTTCTCAATTTCTAACAAACAAAAACAAACAAACAAAATAACAAACATACAAATAATGAAACAAACTCTGCCTCTTTACAATATTAGTACAGATTGGAAAGTTTGAGTAGGTACACTTGTTTTAATATAGTTTACTTTGTTGTTAATTTTTCCTATTTTCGACTTCGAAACATCGAACCGCCCCCGGCAGCCACATCGATTACAATATAAAAAGCTATTTATATCATGTTTCTAGATTATAATAGATATTACTATATTAAACTTATTTCACAAATATTTACTTATATACAACATATTGCGACTTATTGAAGGAAAATCTAGTAGAAATGTGTTTCTTTCTATACCTTCAAACGAGCTAAAAGTTACGTGAGAAAGATCGTACAAATACCTACAATACAATACGTGACGTGAGTTACGTATGTTAAATCGATCATTTACTATTGAATATAATCATATTAGGGATCGTAACTAACCGATTTCGCTTTATCTATTTTATTGGGAGGTTCTTGCTTATCAAGATTATGTATGTTTTCATTAATCTATGTAAATGGAGTGATCCGCTCCCGCTTCGTTTTGGTGTAAACTATACCCACACTTCCTTTAGTAAGTTTTCGTAATATAGTTAGTTATTATAGTTAGTGTCCCATAGGGATTTGATGTAACGGGATATAAAATGAAATAGTAAAGTCACTTTTTGATCTATAAAATTTCTATGCAAAATCAAAGTCACGTCGATATATTGCTACTTAGTTGTTTGAAACATCGTCTTAATGAAAATACACCAAGGTTTTTATAATATTTGTAAGGAAAAATGCTTTAAATAGGATCAACTTTCATTAGAAAACGAGGTCATTTTCCACGGTCCACGCCGCAACGGACTACGGAGCATTACTTATTTTACTGGGATCTTATAAATATTTATAAAACAAGTGGTAATACTCAAGAATTTCAGGCTATAAATGTACTACGAAGTGTACCGTAGCCTACAATTTGATTAGCTCCTTTGGTTCAAACATAATATAGAACGATGAGAATAGCTCTTAAGGAGTTTATATTAAGTTCAGTAATAAACTTTCTAACAAAAGTGTTTGATACGTTGTAAAACTATGTGCAATCATCTCTGATTAAATAACTAATGATAATGCTGGAAATAGTTAAAACAGCTTATTACAAAACTCAGTATCCTTGTTACCGTTTAGTCCGTATACAGTAAAAGAAATAAATGTATGGTCACTTTGGGAACGCTTAAATATATAACATACGTAAAATTCACAGTACATTGCAGGAAATTATAATGCTGTATTAGGTTTGAATTAAAATGGAATTGATACGAAACCCTGACGTTTACATCATACGGTCTTTGAATGAGCCTTCTATATATCTAATAGGAAGTAAATTAAATCTTAAGAAACCAACTTCCAGGCACTAAAATGTAAAAAATAACTAAATGGGGGTTTTCAGTTAGAATAGATACCTAATCAGATATTTTCGAAGTCGGTGCCAGGTGTATGGGAAGTATAACTACTCTTCGAAAAAAAAAACAAAATCGGTTTAGGCATCTTCGAGTAATCGGTGAACATACATAAAAAAAGATTTCGACAAACTGAGAACCTCCTCCTTTTTGGAAGTCGGTTATAAATGATATTTTAGGATGACATTACCAACGAATTATTCGATAACTGTAAACAATAGGTTAATTATATGAGATGGGCATATCAAATGTTTTGTCATGATAATATAATTTTCCACTAAACTATAATTAGAATGAGAAATTGTTTACGTATACATATATGTACTACTAGTAGAACCCGCGGCTTCGCTCGCTTTTAAACTACAAAAAAAACTCTAAAATGGTAGGTTTCATACTTTCATTCGCTATTTTACCCACTTATGGGTTGAATTTCGAAAAATGCTAAAACACGTATTTAATTAATTGTATTGAAGAGCAACAATACCAAGTTTCAAGCTATTCTGATCATAAATATATTTTTTGGATTGTATTATTACGTGTTTTCTCTTGGGAAAGAGATAATCTCGCGCGGTAAAAAGTAGCCTACGTCACTCTCCAGCCCTCCAACTATCTCCACATAAAAAAACACGCCAATCCGACAAGCCGTTTCGATGTGAAAGAAAGACAACACACACAAACAAACAAACAAACACACTTTCACATTTATAATATTATTAGTATGGATGTACATTGTACATATATAACACTGATGTTTATATTCAGAAATTACCAAGAATTTGTAACTGAAACATTTGTTTACTCAAAGATTAATTAAGCTAAAATTAGACATTTCATTATTTATAAGGGATTATACGCATTATGTATATTTGTTATTTTTATTTTTGTACTTTCACATTTTCTTAAACCTACTAGAATAACTTTTTACTAGCTAGGTCCTACGCTTTCGTTTGCGTGTTTTCTTACTTCGCAACAATACAGAAAGCTTGGGAGGCTTAAGCTTTTCTAAATATAGACAAAAGAATGATTGATTTCTTTGTTATAGTTCTCAGTAGCAGCTCAGAGCTAGTTAGTGTAACACGTACCACGAAGGGCAGGGGATACCGTAGGTTCTGAGGCTTGATGTCTCTCCAGTCGTGTGGCATTTTGAGAGCAATAGAATGCGCCTATGTTCACGCTTGCGTCCCATAATACGGTCATCCTCATTTTAATTGTGAGTGACTTAGACTTATTGCTATGACGACTAAATTCTGATTTGAATGAGATTATATTTTTCCAGACATGCAACACGCTTTACTAGATATTACGCAAACATACATACAATATATAAAAAAAACTGTGCCGTAATTATTTCTATCTTATTTTCCTTAAATATCTTAAGTTCTTACTTGGTGGATAGTCTCTATAACTGATGTCACTGTACAGGGCGAAAGGAGATGCACTGATGAACGCTAGAAGCCACAGCACCACTATGATGCGGGACGCCCTCGTCAAACCAGCCATGGCGTATAGATGTAAGGGATGACATATGGCCAGGTACCGCTCTAGTGAGAACGCTGATATCGTCAGTACTGATACATAAGTTGCTCTGTAAAGAAAAAAGGAATTATTCTTAGATTAGTTACTACCCTTGTACGTTAGTCCAGATCTACTTGTATGCAATTGTATAAACTTGAATAAAATGCCCCTTTATAATATGAAAAAAACCTATCCATATATAGTTATTTGGACGTCGTGAAATCTTAAACAGTTGTCATATTTTTTTTTTTCAAATTAGTAATGAGTACTCCGTTATAATATAATGTAACGAAATAGTTAGCTGTAAGGTAGGTATTATTTCTAGGTATTATTTCTGCAATATTGCGAGTATAGAATGTATCAAAATAGCAAGCTATATGAGAAATATAATATAGCGATAACATGTTAATACAAGACAAGAAAAGTTAGAAAACTACCATCACTGGGAAAGAGAGAAAAGACAGTGCCATTGGAAAAGACAGAAAAAAAAGAAAGTTCTATAAAGTGACGTAATGTTACTAATAACTAGTACACTATAACATCAAATTTTCTACTTTACAATGTTTCTTTGCTTGTCTTTTCTTTTAGAAACGTGCAATTTAATTTATTAACAATATATGTGTTAATTACGCACTACTTAAATTATTTACGTTCTGTTCTATCATTAAAAGTCAAATAATATGTTTTAGTTAATTACATTTTATAAGTGGTTTTTAGTCGCTAACGAAGTGATTCTATGAAAAGCAAAAGCTACGCGCCGGGATTTTAATCCAATTTCAAAGAAGCAACACATAAATAAATTGGTATGTTGGTTTAGAGGACTTTGAAAGAATTAAAAAAATTGGTGCTCAGAAGTGTCATATTTCCAAGATATTTGGGTTGCTACGAGTATAAGAGAACTATAACAATCATTAAAAATGGACTGCGTAAGGAATGAAATTACATATGTATAGGTACATATTGTAACTAAGCCGAATCTGTACATTAAATATTTTTTATGTACAGATTCTGTTTATTAAAATAGCAGTATTATCGATATAGAGACCGAATCTATAGTTTTTAGAATGTTTGTCTGTCCGTCTGTCTGTCCGTCTATCTGTCTGTCTGTTACCGCAACACGGAAAAACCACTGGAGGAATTTTCATGAAATTTGGTATGGTGATAGCTGGTCATCCGGGTCAACATATAGGATACTTTTTATAAAAAATATCTCATTTCTGAGAAAAAATACAAAAATTACATTGTAAGAGTATACTAATATGTAAAACCTAAGAATTTGGTTTTTGGTAATCTGAACGCGGGCGGGGCCGCGAGCAATGCTAGTCTAACTATAAATCAGAAGAAAGTAAAATATATTATAGAAGCATTAAAAGCAATTTAAACTAACCATGTTATTGATATACGAGTATTATATGTTTCGATTTTACCAACATCTAATCTCGTTAAAGTTTGTTTATTACGTAAAAATGTAAGCCGAGCCGTAGCAGGTACACATAATTTGTTAACTGAGTATTCACCATTTCCCCACTATAAAGTAACCAATATTATGACAAACTTGACAGAGGCTTATACAAACATTATTTGTTTTTCGCCAGTATACAACGGTTTTTGCATAAACATCAGAGGGCCGTCTTTCTGACATTTGAAAAGGGGTGACTTTACTGTTAGTTCAATTTGTAACTTTTGTGAGCGGTGTGGTGCCTTTCTTATAAGGGTTTTGTTGACATAATAGAAAAACGCTTAAGGCTGTTATAAGTATATTTTATAATAAGCATATAGCTTCTTTGATGTAATAACATTAAAATACCCTCTGTTCGTCGTAATTAAGGCTTTGTTTGCTACTGAACGTCAATAAAACTACAAGTTAATAAGAGTTTATTATAATATTTACATATTTCCAATATTTAAAGCAATTCAAGCAAATATGATAATATAATATGCGAAAAGGCAAATGTAATAGAAATAAATATTGAAACATACTTTTCAATTTTTAAAAACAAATTCAATATGTCTTCTAGACTTCACGTGCATGATAGAGCCATAGACAAATATATTTTTTTTCGTTTAATATAAACAAGATATATTTATTTATACTACTGTAATAAAATAAAAAAATAGAGTTAAAATAAAATATCTCCAAGTCTGTATTAAGTAAATTTTATATTAAAAGGTTCAAGACCGAACTCTATGATTATCCCGTAGTTGAGTAGGTACATGTAACCAAATGTAGGGACATGTTTACGAAAAAGGACTGCGGATAATCTAATTACACCCTCGTAATACATTGAATCTCCCTATTTGCTTAGGGTTCAATCATTTTTTTTTTACATTTTATGACGACGTATTACATCTCTTTATTCGAATGCGTTAAAATAAGTATTTCAAATACAAGCACACACCGCCGACGTCCCAACTTTTGGAAGCTATTAAGTACTTTGTTCCAGAAAAACCGAGTAACTGTTTTGCCCTGAACTGAACTTGAACCCACGTTCGATATAAAGCCGTGTATGCTGGCTAGACCTATGTGGTATGAACAATGTAAATATAGCATGCCATTATAATAAGCATGTTATGGCCAATGAATATTATCATTCTATGCTTTATATTACTCCAGGTCATTCTCTGTCTGTGTAAATTTTATCCAAAACCATCAGCCGTTACAGCGTTAAAGTGTAGCAAGCACACATATAGACACACACACACAAATTTATACACACGCACGCACATACACCTGCACGCACGTACATACGCCTGCACGCACGTACATACGCACGTACGCACGCACGCACGCAAGCACGCACACATCATCAGAGCATTAGACGCAAAAAAGCACAATTTTCAATAAAATACAATAATAATAACAGCTTATAACCTGATATTATATTTTTGTCGTCAAGTGTTTAAACTACCACAACCTTTAGTCAGCGTACGGCAGGAGCAGGTGTTATTTTACGACTTCTACGACATAAAATCTGATGCCTCTAATATTCAATATTCAAATCATTTTCCTCAATTTACTATCCACATTATCTTAATAAAAATGTATTTACGCCAAAAGAGCTTCTTGCCTTGAAGAAATTCTTTTCTTTTTAAATTTTTTTGTTTTTAAAAACGTTTGTTACCTGCGTTAATTAATGTGCTGAAACGTGAAATTGGCGTGATTCAATTAAAAAACAATACGGTAACTGGTCATTTCCAACATGATTACCACTTGTCTTAACGGTGAAGGAAAACATCGTGAGGAAACCCGCATGTTTGAGAGAACCTAGCAAGTTTCCAAAAGACATGTGTAGTCCGCCAACCCGCACTTGGCCAGCCTGGTGGACTAAGGGCTGATCCCCCTCGTATTGAAGGGAGGCCCGTGAATACGGTAACTGGTAAGAGTTAGTTATAATATGAAAGATTTAGTTACTGAATTACATTTGTATATGTTAATCATGGGACCTTTGATATTGATAAGATATTCTTATTGAAATAGTAAAAAGTTGATGAATATCGAGTTAGTGATTAGAGCTACGAGTTTCTTGTCTCAAAGATTTAAAACTTTTTCCGCTTAAATGCGAGTTTGTTGAATTTACTAAATCGAGCAATTCTGCCAAAGGGACTTCATAACTAATACAATCAAGTATCAGTATCATTATCTTTTCAGTGACGTTAGTTAGAATTTTTTTAACTGTTTGTAAATATGTAACAAAAGATAACGACATAAAAAGAAATAGAATAAACTTACGCTTCTGATATAAAAGCTCGCAGCTTGCAGAAGACGAGGCCCAAACTGTAGGGGTACTGATGCCAATATACTGTTAAGTCGTTTGGAAGACCTGCAATAGAAAATATTATTGAAATTTAAACATTTTAGAGTTCTGTTAGCTGCTATTACTAAGGATTTTATTACACTATCTTTCTATTACCTTACTCTTAATGGATTGAGCTGTTACTGTAGAAGCTAGAAATTTTCATAGCTGATTTCCTAGCAAATGAAAACGCAAAAGTATAAAAGCTTGGGTTGATTAAAGTGTAAGACCTACTTAATCTGATTTAACAAATAATAAAATCTGGCAAAATGTCAATCAGACTGGCGCCACAGGTTTTAAAAGCTTTTAATGTTCTAATTGTGATTGGTATGGATGAAGTTTAATTGATGAGCTTTTATACTTTATACATGAATATAGGTTTTATAAAATCATATAATTACAGAGATTAATATTCGCGAATTAAAATGTACAAGTACTTGCTATTATTAATGGCACCTAATTGCCTCGGTGGTCTACGGCTGCAGATCCAAAGGTCCTAGGTTCGAATTCAGGGTCAGACCAAGTTCACTTATTGAGTACGAGTATTTCTGTCAAGAAAGTCTCAGTAACAGCACGGAGTTGGGAAGTTCTCGGTGTTACACCTTGCCTCGGAGAGCGCATGTCCATTAGGGCCATTTATTACATATATCTCTGTTAATAATTTATATCTGAACTTATCGAACTATCTAAATCGAAAAATATTATATTAAAAATACATAAATCATAAAATAATATAGACTTTTTTACTTAAAAGCAATAAATGTACACAGGTAAAAAAACCATTTGAATATTCCTTTCCATACCTACACAATATCACATACGTATATGTATATTTAGAAAATTTGCATCACAACTGTTTCTAATTGAAAATTTGTAATAGCGGACTAAAGCCATCTTTGTGGCCATTATAAAATAATTATCGACAAAGTTCACCTTATTGTTTTACGAAAGCTATTAATATTAATTTAGACTTTGGTAGTTAATTAATATAATTATTTTCCGAAATATTTATTATAATAGAGTCTGTAATAGCATTTCTCTTTCACTTATCCCCGCATAATTTTTCTAATGATAATTAAACTTACTCTTAGCCGGGTTTACTTAGAATCATCCAAGTTTTTTTGGTTAAAGTTTGAATAATAATTTAATTTAAATAAAAATTTATTCGGAATTTACCCGTACACATCTAGGTTTACTTTACCCAAAGAGCTTGGGTGATTCTAATTAAGCCCGGGTAAAACTAGGTGTACTCAATCATATGCGCAAGCGATCCTGCAACGCCCCATTGCACTGCGGCGACAGGTTCCACTGTGGGTTTTAGTGAGGAGTCTCACAGTACCCTGCCCATTGACGGCCGGTAGGGCCTATGATGGGTTTCCCCAGCGTAAACAAAAAAACAGGTGTACTCGATCTTATAGCTTTACCCGCATGTAGCATATACATATCCTCATATTAGATTTAGTGTTATGTTATTTAAATATTTAGTAATACTTTATACTTTATGTCAAGCGAAATAGGTGCTTAGGACTATCTACATATCTTCTATCTGTACATAATAATAATGAAATTGTGACTAAGCCGAATGTGTACATCAATTTTTTTTTGAATAATCTTATTGAACTAGACATTATTATCGATACAGAGGCCGACTCCATAGTTTTAGAATTTTTGTTGGTCTGTCTCTCTGTTTGTGACTGCATCACGGAAAAGTCACTGGAAGGATTTTGATTAAATTTGGTATGATTATAGCTGGTTGTCCGGGTCAACATATTGGATACTTTTTACTGCGCGAAAATTTCTAACATCTGAGAAATCTAGGTATAACTTTAATACGTACCTAGAGATGAACCCGAGGGGAGCGAGGGTGGTGTCCAATAAACCAACTCAATTTTTTTACATAGATATTGTGTAGGCTACATACTATATAGAAGATAAAAAAATTGTCTTCAAGCTTCCTATAAATCCAAAACTCAGGTAATTCTTCACACAATAGTTAGTAAGAACACAAAATTTAAAAAGTATAGAGATGAATGTATATACAAAAAAACACTCATAGAGAAGTAGACTCTGTAAATTTTAATAATATTTTAATTTTAATTTCCTGAGGGGAAAATAAGGGTATATCGCTGTCATAACTTAAATGAAATCGATTGTGACAGAGATTATCAGGTATACATAAATAAATTAATATTTACTCGTATAAATAATTGTGAAAGCCCAATTATAATATTAAGTACTTTATCAATATACTAACGATTGACGCTTCGCTCGGGATCGTTACATGGTACGTTTTAATAGTAGGTGAAATAGATAGACTGTATGATATATAGCCTATTCCTCAATAAATCTAATGCAAAAAGAATTTTTTAAATCGGAGAGTTTCTGAGATTAGCGTTTTAAACAAACAAACAAATTCTGTCTCTTTGTAATATTAGTATGAATAATATTATATTAACACTCATTAAAGCGTAGTATTTGGCAGACACAAACATGTCAACTTTATTTATTAAACATGTGTTGAAATTAAATGAAAATGAAATGAAATATTCTTTATTGCACACCATTATTTTACATTATATAGTTGAAACAGATTAAAGAGAAATAGTACAATAGGCGGCCCGATCGCTAGAGAGCGATCTATTCTAGACAACCTTTTGGGTAGAGAGAAAGAAGAGAGAAGGAAGGGGTGTAAACAATCTTAAAGAGAGATACAATGAATACATACATAGACAAACAGATATATACATACATACACACATATAAACATTATACGAGTACATATAAAATAAAATATGACATGTGTTGATACTAGATAGTAGATATATAATATAACAATATCAAAGAAACTATTATTAAAGTCAACGACAATAAATATGTATCGAATAAATTTATGATGTGTTGTACGAAAAAATAGCTGACATTGAATATTACCGATTCGCAATAAAAGGCGTAAAGTAGGTTTTGCAAAACATCTCATGCTTCGTATAATATGGGGATTTTGTGTGAAATTCCGTTGGCTTTATGTAATACGGTGATAGAAAAAATAAATATGTTTAACACAATCGTATATACGAGTATGTACTACCGACCCTTTCGCATTTATAAGATTATAGCTTTCTCGTCTCATCTGTATCTCTTCGCGATCTGCAAAACCTGTATTTTTTTCTGCGATAGACTTTATAATCATGTTATCTCATAAGTTCTATATTGTATTACATGGAAGAGTTAAAATTTCATGTTTCAGTAATTTTATATTATCATTTTCTTCTGCTTACAACCAAATAAACTTCTGCGAATGGAAAATTTATCTCTATTAAGTACTTGTAATGACGATATTTATAAAGTTAAATATATATTCGTGGACTTTTTTGTGCAATTAATAAAGGTACATACGTACGCTTGTGATACAATATTTTCATTTATATACAACCGTTTAGACTGCGCACGTAAAAACGCTGCTTAAGCAGTATTATCTATATCCAACTTGCTAGACAAAATTGTGATAAGATTTGGTTCGCAAATCATTCATGGTGTTAATATCTATGTAAAAAGCGGATTAATCGAAATCGTTTTTTTTTTTCGTTTTGCTATCACTTATTTATTACCTATGTTTATGTATTTATAATATTAATATAGTAGATTATATTATAGCTTGCTTCCCAATACATATTTTCATCCCCATTTACACCCTCTTAAGGAATGATTTCCGGGATAAAAAGTTTTAGGAAACGATATAGGTAGGTAGTAGGAAAGGATATAGGTATCCTTTCCAGGGTTTCAAACTATCTTTTTACCAAATTTCATCTAAATCGGTTCTGTAGATCCAGAGATTACCCCTACAACGTCACAATTAGTATCAATCGAAAGCAAAAGATTTGTAGAAAATGCTATCATACGGTTAGCGGCCTTTTTCGAACATATTACTTGACATCCAGGCATAAACAGGTAAATTTTAATAGTTAATTACTCGTATCGTTTTTCGAAACGAACCAAGTATCAAAATGTAAATAATTTTATAACAAAATATTTAATGATATAGGGTTGTCATACCAAAATAGATATCTCCAGATTAGAGGTTTTTTAGTAAAAAATAGCCTGGGGCAAATATTTGGTGACAACTCGCTTGGGTCGTGTTTGTTAATATGTTTTAAAAAATATATTTCGTCTGGAAAAAGAATGAGGGGTCCACCGCATAGATCGGGATCTTAGACTAGAACGTTTAATTAAACTTTAATATTCATATTCTACCGCTACTACCGTATTCATTCGATTTAAGAATTGTAAGAGTGAGTAGTAACTTTTTAATGTAATAAATATTTATTAGGTATTTTCATATCATAAGCGTACTAAAATGGTGTTAAGCGAAATAAGAGTATTACTGTATTGAATAAGTACATAAATAGCATTATAAGCTTAACTGCTTGTTACATAAAATCTTTTCTATGAATTTTAACAACAGTTTTTAAAGTGGTTTTAAACTTTCCATAAAGTTTATTAGTTGTGGAGAAAGAAGTTTATTGTTACGTAGATAAGTGTTTTAATTTGCAAAAATAAAAAAATATTTTTCTTTTACATTACGCTTATGTTGTATGTTGCTTATGTAAACAAAAACAAGTCTATCCCTCGGGAACCGTATATTTTTCCGGGATGAAAAGTGGCTTATAGGTTATTTTAGACTATAATCTATCTTTGTGCCAAATTTCATCCAGATCCGTTCAGCCGTTCTGGCGTGAAAGGGTAACAAACATCCATATATCCATACACACAAACTTTCACATTTTTAATATTAGTATAGATATCTATTTATGTATTTTTCGTCAGTTTATGTGATTATTTCAAGTAAATAATTAATCAACAACAAACTAATATTATAAATGTGAACGTTTGTGACTGAGTGTTTTTGCTTAAGAATTCTTTTAATTTATTATTTATGATGCAGTCAGTGGCTCAATTGATTTGAATAAAATTCAAAATAGAGGTATGTAGGTCATATCTCGGATTATCATGTAAGCTACTTTTTTACCCGA